AAAATGCAAATAAATACAGAAACAATGATTAGCTTTGGCGTTCAGGGGGGTTTTAGCCATGTTATTTAGCTCCCCCTTCCTAAGTAAATATAAATGTACTATTCCATATTATCTATAGTTCATTCTCATTCACATTGTACTGTAATATCTGGGCGCGACCTGGGGGAGGCGCTGCTGCTCTAATGCAGCGCTGCCTCGGCTGGATTACCAGGGTTGACTAACATAAGGTTCCACCAATCATATCAGAACTTATATGTTGTAAGCCAATCATATCAGACCTGGGGGAGGGGCTCTATGGCAAAGTAACCGGTGACCGAGCTGAGGACAGGATTTTGGCTAAAAGCTCAAATAAACGTTAGACGTTATTCAAAATCTGTAATATACAGAGTGAAACAGTGTGAAACGGAGTGAATATTAACCTGCAATATGGATTTGTGGCAAATTATGGTCAGTATAGCTGTTTTTTTACTTGGTTGCTTAACTCTAGCTAGCTAACCTTTAGTTAACTTTGGGTTTAAGTGAGGTAAAGAACAGAGGCTAGGCTAACACAACATCAGCTAACTAGCTGACGTCAACTAGTTTAACCCATAGAGTCTCTGGTTTACCCTCACTTCATAGTGAGTGTGAGAGTGAAAGAACAAGAGAGATAGAAATAACGTTATTGACAGCTTTTTATAGTCTTTGTTTTTAGATTTCGCTTCAGTATTTGGACATAATAACATCAGCATCTGCCATATATTGTTGTTGCATTAATACGGTAGTTAATGTCAGTGAAAAGGTCGAGGCTGAAGTTGCTTCCTATTCGCCAGATTCTTGTTTGAGTTTTCCGCTGTGAGGCACCAGAATGAAACTGCTGCAGCATTTAAGGTGGAAAATTCAATCAGGAAGCTGATTCAGCTTAGTGTGAAAAGATCATCATAACACAGTTTTATATTCCTCAATTCCTCAACCTGTAGATGGAAATTAAGAGGCAGCAGCTCCGTCGAAGGCCAGTCAGATGAGAAGATTTTTACCAGTTAAATTAAACTGATTGATCATTATTTCCTTGAGTTCTTATAAATCTGAGTTTAATAAAATGAATGCATTACTAAACACAGGATGAGAGGGAGAGAAAGAAGCTGAAGGAGACTGACAGGACTGAAGGAGCAGATCTGATGGAGGTTAGTGATCAAGAAGAAAGCGAGGGAGAGCTGTATTAGCTTTTGGTTAAAATTAATACTGAATTTAATTTAACTTAACTAAGAAAGTATAATATTTGTCACCATGACCCTGAAATTCTGTCACCTAGCTTATTAAACATGTCTACAGAGCAAAATCACGCTCTTTCTGATTACTGAGCTGATCTGTAATTTGTGTGTGAATAATATATTTAGGGCCTTGCAGCTTAGCTAAGAGAGGAGAGTTAGCATTGCTTGACTTAAGTAACTTTGCTTGATCTGTGCCTGTTGTAAGTGGATGAATATAGAGTTAATGGCTCTCTGCTTAATACAAACTATGAAGAGACAGATCTACCATGTGGCAAGTTGACCAAATAACCATTTTTTGATATAGTTAACACTACTGATGTACTTAACATTTTCTGGCTGCTGCTACTCTAAAGTGCATTTTAAACATTTTGGGGCCATAAAAAAGATTCTCTTTGGGAACCATGTTTTAGACCTCCCTAGTACAGGCTTAGCCCCTCTAGCCATGAAACTCACACAGTACAAAATCAAGGGCAATTTAAGACTAGAAACACTGTGAAATGTTCAGAACACAACTATACAGGTGATGCTGTTATGCTTTGGTATAAAAGGAGAATTGATATAAGTGGACAATTGGTATAAAATTTTCACCCTCTATAGTGTATATGATAAACAATGATAAACAGTGATATGATAAACAAATTCAGGGAATCTGGAGAAATCTCTGTGCATAAAGGATGCAGGCTAAAAAAACCACAAATGAATGCTCATGACCTTCAAACCCTCAGACAGCATTGCATTAAACTGTTGTTAATAGGCACCGTCTGCCGCTGCGTCCACAAATTGAAGTTAAGACTGCATTATGCACAGTGGAAGTCATATATCAATAACGTCCAGAAATGCTGCTGACTTCTCTGGGCTCGAGCTCGTCTGAAATGGACTGTTGCGCTGTAGAAACATGTATGGTTGTCTGAAGAGTCTACTTATTACTTACAATTATTTACTGGAATAATGGACACCGTGTTCTCTAGGCCAAAATAGAAAAGGACCATCCAGACTGTTACCAGCATGAGGTTCAAAAGCCAGGGTCTGTCATGGGGGTGTATTATTGAGTAACTTGCACATCTGTGAAAGCTGAACACATTTTGGAGTAACATATGCTGCCTTTTAGACATCGTCTTTTTCAAGGACGTCCATGCTTATTTCAACATGACAACGCCAAGCTACATTCTGTGTTACAACAGCGTGGCTGCATCATCAGAGGATGCAGATACTAGACTGGCCTGCCAGCAGTCCAGAACTGTCTCTCATTGAAAACACATGCCACATTATTGAGCTCGAAATACAAAAAAGAAAGGCCCTGTACAGTTGCACTGCTGAAGATTTGTATAATAGAAGAAGTAATAACTTCCGCTTTCAAAACTAGATTAGTTTGTGTTTTTAGTCCCAGATGTTTATCAAGAGTTGTTAAAAGGAAAGTGATGTAACACAGACATGCTCCTATTCTGACTGTTTTTGGACTACGTTGGAACAAGCATACATTTACAAACAACAATGAAGTTCACAATGTATAACATCAAATATTTAATTTTTGTACCGTTTTAATGCAGGTCAAATAGAATTTACTAATTGCTGCTTTCTGTTTTTATCAGCAGTTCACGCAGTGTCCCAACTTTTTTGGAATTGTTTTGGAGATTATTAGAATCAGTTTTGTGCAGCTTCACAGGTTCCAAATAATTACTAGGAAGATGTAAAACTTACAGACGTGTATGGAATGATAAACAGAGCTGGCTGTAGATTTTCTGAAATGTTATCATAAGGTTAAAAGTTAAATGAATTATTATAATGGAATTTTACCTTGAATTTCAAAATGTGATGTTTTCAAGGTTGATAAGTAACTTAGTGAAATAGGTTTTAAACATACACTGATACTATTTATTCCCCCTTAGGTTCATAAAATGTTATTTTATTATAACTATGCAATATGCTGTATGTAGTTTTCAAAGTTAGTTGCTGTTAGTCATGCTGTTAGTTTTCTTTGGCCAACCTCGTTGATGGTTATTAGGACACCAGTGGTTTCCTTCTTTTTTCAGGACATTCCAAATTGTTATACTGGCTAAGCCCAGTGCTTGTGCAATGTATGATTTTCCCTCTTTGCTCAGCTTCAAAATGGTTTGCTTTTCTCCCATAGACAGCTCTCTGGTCTTTATATTGGTGTATGGTTTTTAACAACTGCTGTTTTCACAGGCAAAACCGAGGAGGAGACTGAGCTGACATAGGTTGAGTTAAAAAAAAACAATAAACAAAAGACAAATGGTAAAAATACACATTTTATATTGTCCCAGAAATAAAAACTGACATCCTGTGTCTAATATCATGCTTAATCATGCTTAAATTGTGATCTAGAATGCACATTTATAAATATATAACAACAATGACCCAACAATGGCTGTAAAAAACAATGAAGAAAGCAAGGCTATTCAAAATATATTGCTTCAAAATATCACACGTATTCCTAGCAGGTGGGCAATATGAACTTCTTACAACATAAAACTCTTACAATTATCTCATATTTAAAATAAACCTTCCTCTGGTTTTCATTTAATCACAGCTATGATATCTCAAATAAAATGAGAACTAAAAAGTTTGAAATTTACCAAATTTTACAAAATTTCAATCCAGGTCAAGAGCGATTTAAACTTCCCTGCTGCTCTGGGGGAAATACCCACTTTGGGCACTTTCCCTTTTCCAAAAGAATGAGTTGGAACAGAATGTCGATGGAGCACTTGCCATTTGTTGCATGCATGAAAAAAATATCAAAACAAAAAAACGAGTGTGCCAATGAGAAAAAATGAGAGCATTTTCATTGTGGCAGTGACTACAGCTGCCAAGGCATTAATGTAAATTCACTACAACACCCATAATACAGTGCTCTCAAACCTTAACACTGCATGACACACAATACCATTTTTGGTTCCTCAAAAAACTTTCAATAGATGGTTCCTCAGAGAACCATTTTTGTAAATGAGTTGTATAAATGTCTTTAAAGATTAAACACCTTCTACATGGACCTCTAAGTGGGGTAATTCATTTAGAGCAACCCATATTCACCAACATTAGAACAAAGGTAAGACCAAATTTATGCATGTGTACACCTGTCATGGATTCGGCAGTTACTGTGGGCGAGATGGCATTATTACAATGAATCTGCAACAGTGTGTCTCTGTCAGGCCCGAGGCCACGAAAGTTCCCAAATAATCTCCACAAAAGCCAAAGAAATACATTCTTAGGTGTAAGAAATATATTTGCAAGAAAAGCACCCTGTATTAAAGGCATGCAAATTAGTTGACAGGAGATCATCCACACCCCTTCATTATTTTCACTGATAATACTCACTGTTTGTATATGAAGAGAGCCATATGCTAATTGAATAAGCCACAGTAGCATTACCAGAGGAGATTTGAGAAATAATCGTTTAAGCATAAACATATCAGTCAGTAACTGAAGCCTGACAATAGGGTGTGATATCACTTCTAATCTATGAATATGCATTACGTACGTTTATCATATCTGTTTTAAGGAAGAATAATTCAGCTGGTACAATAAATAAAAACAAGAAAAAGTAATATTATTCAATGTATACCATTTCAGTTAACAGATAAACTGATCAGAAGTACATTGTAGTTGGTTACAATATGAGTCCCATAAATAGAACGCTAGTGCCCCATTCATTCAGAGAGTAGCATGCTGTGTGTTTCTGTTTATTAACCAAAAAAGGAATAATTTCTGTAAAGACCAAGATGAAAAGAATCAGTGAACATTCTTAAATGGTTTATTAATTTTGCTGGAAAACAAATATTGAGAAACATAGAGCAAGAAAATCTTATGAATAGTTCAAAGGGCTTCTTCTTTAATGCTACTTAAGAGGTTAAATTTGTAAATGATATTTCATTCGATCTCCCAGGAGATGGATTTTGGTTGAGATCTTAAATATATCAAACACAGTTTCACAATCATCATTTCTTTGGTTTAATTAGCTCATGAAACTAAACGAAGCTCTCTGGTCACCATAACTTATTGTGTTTGACTGAACACAATCCACACATACACACACACACAAACACACACATCTTCTAAGCTGCTTATCCTTCTGGGTTGCGGGGGTGCTGGAGCCTATCCCAGCTGTCATCAGGCGGAAAGCAGGATACACCCTGGACAGGTCGAACACAATCCATTCTTCTGCTAACTGAATGGAAGTTTATCTGAATGTAGTTTGAATGGCAGCCTCCTCAGTTATTTATCACTACACAAACATCTAAACTTCTAAGACAGCAGGTTAAAATGACTGATTCTTCTTTAAGCAGTGAAGTGCACAACTGAACCCCCCACAGCACTTTAATGGGAACCTGTGACTCACTATTCACAAACAGGCAAGGGAATTTCTCCATTAGTGCAGCTCTGACGGAGGGAAACACTGCCTTTCGCTAGTCTATATCCGCTTTTACAAGAAAACTCAACAAAATCTCTATGTGTTACATAGATTTTTTCTGTGTATTTATGCCTTAGCTGTATATTACGGTCATCCATAGCTTTAAGATCCACAGTGCAGGGTTCTGAAATCAAACAAACATGTTTTAATTAGTACATTCATGGTTGTGTTTATGTTCAGTGAAATAACTGACAGTACATAGTACAGATTAAGACATGGAAAACATACAGATGGAAAAAAGAGCATCTCCTTATTATAATACAGTTACTCCTCTGTGTATCACTCTGCTCTGTGTGGTTTGTGTAACTCTGGAGTTCCTCTTCTTCATTTCAACTCTTGAATTCCTTGCACTGCACATTTTTTTTGTGTGTTTTCCCAGCTCTAACATGCTCGAGCTAACCTAATAAAGCTTAGTAATGAGACGATGTGTGGAGTCAAGTGTGCTGTTAGCAGAATAAACACTAAAATGTGCAGAGAAGAAGAACATCAGGACCAGGATTGTGAATCACTGATCTACCTTAGAAATTGAGGAATATTGTATTCTACACCAGGGGACTAGTTGTAGTGACTAATTGTTGTTTATGACGTCCCTTAAGTGCTAACGTCTAACTACAACTGCCAAGATACACAGAGACTTACCGGTTTATTAGATACATTAATGTAGCTCCTCGGTAATTGGTCATTTAATCAGACGACCATAGAGGTGCACATTATAGGTACATGATTACTGACTGTAGCTCATCTGTCACGCATTGCTCAGCTGCTCTCCTCAACCCAGAAGTGACCCTGAGGTGCCATTTTGTTCATTAACTCATTTTTGACATTTGCTGAAATTATGTTTATCTTCTCACCCGCAAGTCTTTGGAAAGAAATAGTTCTATGATATTAATAATCACTGAGCAGCAAATGTTTAGATTAATTTGGTTTGGTTACACCTGAAAATCTGTTTGTAAATGGTAATAATTAGTTTTCTAATGTTTAATTTACTAAGTGTTTAATGTTTTTTTTTCTAATGTTTGAAATGTGTTTTTGATACACGCCCATGTATTTTTATATATGTTTTTATTTTATTTATTGTAATTAATGAATTTATTTATTTAACCAGTCTCTTTTCCTTACTGACATTTTTTAAAAGTGAGCGAACATGATCACTGGAGTGAAGCATTACAGGAACTACACATTTAGTTTTTTAATATTTCAGGTTTTTTCTCCTCAGTCTTGGAAATGAGGGACATTTTGTTTTTGTGGGATGAGACAAACTTTCAATTTTCTAGATTCTCTCACAAATTGTGGGATGGAGAGTCATTTTTTTTTTTGTTGCACTTTCGACATTTTAGTATGTGCTTAAAGTTTTGTGCGCTTTTTAGTAAATATGCTTATAATATGTTGTATTACTATTACAGTACGGTTGTATGGAATAGTGGGGCACCCCTGGCTAAAAGACATCTTCTGTGAATTTATGAAGTTAAAAGATGTAAACACATCCTTCAGCACAATAATAATAATAATAATAATAATAGTTAAAATATCATTTTTAAAGTGTTAATGCACAGTTACATTTTATATTTGACTAACATTAAGAAATAGAAAAGAGTAAAACAGTAGTACTCACTCCAGCACTTCCCACTTCCTGCCCATCTGCCTCGTGTGCAGGTCAGATGACCTTCCTTAACATAGAGTGCAGGACAGTCATAAGCAGCTTTTTCACCGTGCTCATATCGATCCTTAAAATCCTGTACGGCATGTTCAATCTGTGGGGGTGTGCCACAGTCTAGTGTTGTTGCTGTTCACACACACACACACACACACACACACACACACACACACACACACACACACACATATTATATAAAAGAATTGTAGGTGCCCAGTCAAGCAACACACTAAAATTAGGCCTGTTATCTTGTGGATTTCACTGGGCTTCAGAACGAGCCTACAACACTGTTTTAGTCTGGACACCAATTTTCTTGCAATTTAGCAGCAACATCCCCAAAGTAGCAAACTGTAGAGGAATGATTCACTCCTCTGTACTAAACATGTAGCTTTTTTCTTTTCCTTTTTCTAAGCCGTGTTTGTGTCTTGGTAGTCTTCAGTGTGCAAGTCTGAGTCTTATATGGGCGCCTGATTTTACACAAATTGTATATTGATACATTTAGATTGCCACAAGCCAAGCACTGTACATCTTGGTCAGTGGGGGTAGAAAATACTTTGTACTTTGTTACTATAATTGTGTATTATTACAAATGTATTATTTTGAAACTTTTGTCTTGTTACTCCAGTGAAACAGAATAGTTGTACTTTTAGGTAAAGAAAAAACATACTTTTTACACCTTTTGTATTTAGACTTTCACAGTGCTTGTTACAAATCTTTACAACCAAGAAATTTTAGTTTTTTTGTTTTTTTCCAATCAATCAAATTACTCCATGTCTTAATAATTGTTTTTATTAAAATATCCAACCAAATTTATATTACTGTAAAATTAAAAATACCTACAAATTTGCTTATTTGTCTTTATGCAAGGACTAGCACTGCATTTTTTAGCAATTTTTAGTTTTATAAGTTTGAGGATGTTTAAACTTTGATCTTTTTATCGTTTTTTAACTTGCGCTCAAGTACATTTTTGGCTCCAAGATTTTCACAAGTTTCCTGTTTACATCTAAGTCTTTCATTACGTTGATTGACTAATGTTTTAGCTGGCATTGAAAACATTGTCGGTCTCGGAAATAACTCCTCCATGCACAGGCTATCAGTTTTTCCACATTGTTTTCTGGGTCACCTCAAACATGATTTGAGCTCCATTTCTCTGCAGTTGCGCAAGTGGTTTCTTTCACTGTTTCTTCAAGGCTGTCGCCTCATTTCATTTGTCTGTTGTCTCAATGACCAGGCCCCAGTTGCATAAGACTGTTTGTACTCATATAGAAGTATAGCCTTTGTATATAATATTTTTACCCCTTTGAATATTACATGAATTTTTAAGGAAGACTAAGTAAAGTGTATAATTTATACATCAAATCATTTCTGGTTTTTGCAATTTTCAGAAATTGTGTTATAAAATCAATTTTGTATTTTAGAATAAAATTGAGGCTTCTCTCTTCTGTCATGTTCAGATATATCTCTTGTATTTTTCATAATAAGCATACACACATGGCATCATATTTGAGATTTTAAGTCCATTTTACTTCTTTCAGTACCTTGAGAGACTAGAATGCAAATGTTAGCTAATTTTGAACAATCAGGTTATTGTTTAAAAATAGCCAACTGGGTATCAACTCAGTAGCCAAGCTAGTGCCAGGTTTTCATGTCGTTGTTACCACTGTGGTGGTGGGGCTGATGTGATATCTTTTCATGGGCCCCAAAATCCCTGGTGGAGCCCCTGCTGACCAGAAAAAGTTAACTGCTTTTAGTTAAAATAAGTAAGCTAATAAATAATAAAAACGCTATGTGCTGCTACGAACATTTAAAATCCATAGTTCATCTTCAGTGAGACCACAGCTAGGATCCACACCCCCAAATCTCATTTGGCGGACTTGACAGATGATATTTTTTTTCCATGGAATGCAAAAAGTTATCAGTGTTTCCATGGCAGCGTTTACTGATTGTATGTATTATCTGAAGTGTGTTGTTTAGCGTTTGTCACTGTGTACGCATTAGTTAGTTGTTACTAGTTAAGATCTGACTTGGATTGGAAAATTTCATAAAATTAGCAAAGACTTTTTAATTAAGTTCTTAAGTAAAACCTTATGCAAAACTGTTGCAACCCAGTTCAGGTGTTGTGCCAAAATCGAACCCTATTCTCATGAACATGTCACACAGGCATATGGACACCTCAGATCACTTACATATACATTTTGGGTATGTCCACTCCCTCCCAGTACAGCGGGCAATGGCTTCGTTCTCAAACACGAATCCTTCAGAACATTTAAATTCCACAGTATCTCCTTTTGTGTAGACATCCTTGACCTTTTGAGGTTCATTAATGGCGCCACTGATTATCACCATATCAGGTTTTGGACAGGTAGCTGGCCCTAACATGTAAAGGCATTATGATTACAACAATAAGAAGAACAAATAAATCAAATCAGACTGAGCAGTTGTAATGTGCAGTACAGTGGGCAGGATGTTGGCAGTTATTTCTCTTTGCCTGTATCTGTTATTCAAGTTATTCATGAAGTCAGAGACTTAAAAATGACTTTCAAAATTTAGTCTCATTTAATAACAAAATGATGGAATGTATGTGAGAACATGTACATGAAATCTACCTGCAAAAATAGCCAAATGTAATTAAAAATCACCTGTCCTGTAGAGAGTCCTTTATCAACTCTAACAACTGTTTTAATTCCCTAGGCGTGTATTAATCAATGAAACACATATTTTCAGGTTTGAGATTCAGTTAGATTTATATGTACACACACTGAGAAGAAAACAAGCAGCTATGATCCTCAGTAGGGGTGCGAAAATCGATTTTCTAAATATTTAATTTATAACGTAATGTTGACAGAACGCAAAAGGTGGAACTTGGAAGTGGGAAAGTGCAGCGCCCGGACAGTCTGTGACGGCACACAACAAAAACACTACTGGATGAGTGAGAAATCTGACCGGCTCCCTCTGCATTAAAGCCAGGTCAGGTCAGGAGTCACAACAGAAATGTTCAGAAGAGCCATTTTGTCCTTTCAACAAAAATCAAACCACCTTGGGAGCCGCAACATTTAATGTCCAGTATGTCTCAGGGTGTGATAATGTCCTAGTATAGGCTAAACAATATAAACAAAAACGCAGATTTACTCTACTCTGCCTTAAGCTTTGCCTACAGCCGCTTTCCTCCCATCTCCGCCAGAAAACCTTTCCTCAGAAGTTGATCAGTTACATGTCTCTCAACGTTCGACTGTTTCACGAGGCTGAAGTCACTTCTTATTCTCCAGCTTCTTGTTCGAATTTACCCGTTCCATTCTACCATTTAAGGTGGAATGGGAGAATTCGAAAGAGAAGCAACTTCAGCTTCGCCACTTTTTAGTGTTTGACAGTCTCTCGTTGCAGATTTAACGTACCAGGAAACCAACTACGCTGCTTATAAATGCGAATAACGCATCGCTGCTATGTGACCTGCAGTCTGCACGGCAATTCTCAGTCGTTGCGAAACAGGGCTTTTGCGCAAGGTTGCACACGACCCGTCTCAAAGATATTTTACTGACACAGCGACCCCCCCACTAGTTATAAAATCACTAAAGAAAACGGGTAGAATAGCTGTAACATATGCTGCATGGACATCCATCACCACAGGATCTTGTTTCACTGTAACTGCGCATTTTATCGCAGATGAGTAGCAGCAGCTTCTCGTGCTCCAAACAAGAGCACTGAATGAGAGCCTTCCAGTTAGTTCACTTGCCACATCACTTTCATTTGTTTTATCAAAAAAGATATTGGAAAATTCATTATGGATCATTACAAATACTTTGCTTTAAAAGTACCATTTTAAAGAGTCACTTAGTCACTTTAAAATGTATGTTGTCTTTACATTCTGTATATATCTTGTGTATATTTTGTGTATATTTAATATATTTCAGTTGGTTTTTCCTGTATTTTTATTTTTACTTATTTACTTTCTGTAGAGTGATTAGCTGAGCCTCACCACAAGCATTTCAATGCATAAATGTCCTGACATGTTGTGCAAGTGACACATAAACTTGAACTCGAAACTTGAGCTCACACAGTGAGAAAATATAAATGCTATATAGAAAAAAAAGATGCATCGATAATCGTTTTATAATCGCATCACAGCCCTCTGAATCGTAATCGAATCGAATCGTGAGGTGCCTAGAGATTCCCACCCCTAATCCTCAGTATATTCTCTTTAACCTCTATATATTTCTAATCAGTATGTTGCTTTTGGTAGAAGCTTTCATGCTCGACCCCAATTAAGATGAGCTGTCAGCCTGATTTTGAACACATCCATAAAACACAAAGTTTTGCTGGTTGAGATGAAACGTTTTAGGCAGCGTTGCAGTACATCAGTTTTGGACGGCATCAATATGCGTGTTTGTTTTTTTCAAAACTTGACAGTTTCTCATATGCAGAAATCTGACTCTGAGTTCTTGTTCAAACAAAATGGCTGAGGTTTACCATATGAAGTCAGCCAATTGTAGCTTTCCTTTACTATTACTATAGCTTATTATTATTATTATTAACATCATCATTATTATTATTATTAGATGATTAATAACAATAATAGGCTTTGTTTTTTTTAATGAACAATGAAAAAGTGCTGCCTTGAAATCAAAGTTCTTAATGTAGTCTGTCTGAAAGCCGTGGACAGTGTGTTTTGTGACATTTAAATCATTGATTGCAATCGCGACAGACGGAATGAATCAGCAATTCATGATACTGTAATTAACCCGAGTGAAAAACAGTGCATGACCACACAGAGTGGCCAAAGATGCTGATATTGCTGTGATCACTTTGCTCATCTTTGGTCTGAATGTTTGACTGTTAGTCTCTCCAAATGAGTAACACATGGATACTTGCCAGGGCAGGGACGTATATTGTTCCATTCTCCCTGCCCATCACAGGTGATTTCAAATGTGCTAGATCCATGTAGACACTGGTACCGAATACGTGCACCTGGTTTATAAGGACGTTGTGGATTGTCCAGCAGTCTTGCGTTTTCAATTGTTGGCTCAGGACACGTAATCTCTGAAAAACAGGCAAGACTTTTTCATACTTCTCTGCTATGAAATAAGGAAGCTAATTAACCACACACTTCCACAGACAGGGACTTACCAGTACACAGTGGGTTTGGAAGCCAGCCGTTCTCTGTACACGTGGCAGTTCTAGCTCCTGCCCGATACCCACTTTCACACTGGTATGTTTTTTTGACCCCCAATCTTCTGTCCCTACTAAAGTAGTAGTGAGGACTGTCCACATGCTGGTCATAGGGAATATCACAAGTAATTTCTGCAAAGATGTTTAGATGTTAATTACTGTATGTTATAACTGAAGCACCAAGAATGTTTTTGCAGTTTTTATATTTGTGTATTCTTTACCCTCACACACAGGCGAGTGTTCCCATTCACCACTTTCTTTGCATATAATGTTTCGTTTGATCTTTCTTGTTCCGTACAACCAGAGTCTTTCTGAGCAGGTGATTTCTACACTCTCTCCAACCCTGAATACATTCTTCCCTTTTGGGCTTGTGCTTGTTCCAGGTGTGGGTGGCCCAAGCAGACAATTAATTTCTGTGGTAGACAAAAAGCAGTATTGCAAACGAAATTCATTATTTTCTAGCAAGAAATACAGATATTTATGAAATGCTTTTTGAACTTTTAAAAAAATGAATATTTGAACTTTCCAGATAAATAATAACCATCCAAAGTTTTTTGTGTTGGGTTTTCCTCCCAATTTTTCTTTTTTCAGTAATTTCAACTCATGATGCTTATTACCAAATCTGCCTACTAAATTAAACATTTTAAGGATATTTTCACCAAAAATGACTGAATAACAGGGTTGAAACCTCACTAAAAGGTTTGAACACAGATCATATTCCCTATTAAATTGATATTTATGCAGTAATATATCATATAACATATACAACTTAGAGTAGCAGGAAACGCTGATAAATTGTTTTAATCAACGTTTTCACTAAAATCTTAGTTTCAAGCCTTTTTCATTTAATTGTCACTGAAAATCTAAACTAATCTAAAATCTTAAAATCTAATCTAAACATCACTTAAATTGAACCTGTCTGGCAGTGTGAAACACTTAGGTCTGTCTGTCACAATTTAACAAGTCAAGTGTGTAGTCATTATTTGTCACCCATCAGCTCATGTAAATGTAAATATAATTATATACTCTCATAGTTTCTGGTTCTCAGATTTTATTTTTTTCAGAGTGTGCATATCTGTCATGCATTATAATTTCTGGCTAATCTGACTTTAGCTACATGTGTGTTTTTTTTGTCCCTCAGCTCTAATCAGTTGTTGGCACTACAAGGTATGCAGGGGAATCAGGTGCAGGGTACAGTGATTGAGGCGTTCTAGCAAGATTGCAGTCCAGGACCAGTCAAGCAGGTGCCACAGCTGTTGTCTCGTGGATGGCAGTGTTGATAGCCAGGCGAAACTCAGGGAGCCATTTTTCCCAATCGGGCTGTCTGCTTCCCAAAAATGAGATGATTATTGTCTTATGGATCTTGTTCACCCTTTCAGTCAGGTTTGTCTGTGGATGGTAGGCTGTGGATAACTTCTGAACCACACTCCAGGATTTGCACAAGGTGAAAGCCTGCAGTCTTAAAGACCACCCTCTCCCTGCTGAGCTGAGGGGGAAGAAATGGGGGAGTCATGCCAGAGCTCTGCCTCTTGCCAGGAGGAGATGTTATAGACCTGTTCTTCCCTCAGTCGTTATGGGAAATATAAGATCTTTTACCAGTAACATGGACGCGGTGATGCACTGACCCATCTGTTAGCCATTAGCATGAGGCTTACTCCCTGTCGAGGGAATTCTCACAAGTTTTTGCAATAGCAGTGTACACCCTCCCCATCCCAAATGATGTAGAAATATATACTGTCCTCTGTTGAGCTCTCCATCAAGCTCTCCATCACTGGACAATGTCCACTCTCTTACCCTGCCCCCTCTACTGAGACCAGTACCATATGTATATACATATATACCAGTGTGTGTGTGTGTGTGTGTGTGTGTGTGTGTGTGTGTGTGTGTATATATATATATAGTAATTGCAATTTGGCAAATGCAGCCAAACCCAGTCAAGATTATAATGAACTATACCATGTGCCTACATCATGACTCAAGACAGGCTGGTATGAAGATGGCAATGAAGCAGTAATACCTCCCCATTTCCAAAAAAGTTGGGATGCTGTGCAGAATGTAAATAAAAATAGAATGCAATATATGCAAATCATGTAAACCCTATATTTAAATGAAAATACTACAAATACAACGTTTGGGGACTGAGAAGACCAATTGCTGTGCTTTTGAAAGTGAAATGTTTTCCCATTTTTGCTTGATATAGGATTTCAGCTGCTCAACAGTTCAGGGTCTCCTTTGTGAGGGTGGCGGCATTCCTGGATCCAGTTTATGGATCCAGGTTTCTTCTTTGCATTTTAGTGTTTTAATTAGCATTTGTGGATGCAGTGATGAACTGTTTTTACAGACAGTGGTTTTCAGAAGTGTTTCTGAGCCCATGCAGTGATTTCCACTACAGAATCATGTCTGTTTTTAATGCAGTGTCTTCTGAGGGCCCAAAGATAACGGCCAGCAAATACTGGTTTTGGTCTTGTCCATTGAATACAGAGATTTCTCCAGATTCTCTGAATCTTTTAATGTTATTATGTACTGGAGATGATGAAAGCAAAGGTTCTTTGCTATTTTATGTTAGAAACGTTATTCTTGAATTGTTGCACTATTTGCCCACACAGGCTTTCACAGAGTGGTGAACCCCTCCCCAGCTTTACTTCTGAAAGGCTCAGCCTCTCTGAGATGCTTTTTTTATAGCCAATCATGTTACTGACCTGTTACCAATTAACCACCAGGTGTTTTTTTAGCACTACACAACTGTACCAGCCTTTCCTTGCCCCTGTCCCAACTTTTTTGGACCGTGTTGTTGACATCACATTCAAAATGGGCAAATATTTTCCAAAAAACAATAAAATTTCTTAGTTTCAACATTTGATATGTTGTCCTTCAATGAAATATAGAATTGAAATGATTTGCACATCATTGCGTTTTGATTTTATTTACATTTTGCACAGCGGTTTTTTGGAAATGGGGTTGTAATTTTGAAGACGTGATTCTTTGGTATGATTTTCTGGGTGCTGAGAATGACAATCTAATAAAGTACAGCAGAGAAACCCCAAAATAAGGAGGAAAGCAGAGTCAGAACAGAGCACTTCATAGGCCCAGCAGACCATATATAATCCTAGCATTAATGTTAGTATAGATCGATCCTGTGTTGGGTAATTACTCAAAAAGTAATCCACAACAGATTACTATTTTTTTCCAAACTAATTAAAAAAAAATACTAAAAGTTACTATTTAACTTTCTTATAACCTTTTCAGACTTTTTGAAATGTTACTTATTACTTGCTGGAAAAAGTAACCTCTCTACTCATTACTTCTTCCTTACTCTGTAGCAAATTATCTCATTATAATCAGCTGAATTATCTGCCACTATAGTCATATCATTTCACTTAGGAAGTGAAAAATGTCTAGAATGAAATAATCTGAGAATTCTTATAGCAATGTTAAAATGAGAAATATTGGAGATATTGACTAAATTAGAATGATTTAATTTTGTTGCATTGTAGACTCAACTAAAAATGTGCATGTAGGGGGCCACAGTTTTACTAAATCTGCCCCTGCCTTTAAGCAGAAACTACTCTGTGTGTTAATCTCTAGAAACAAGACTACTAAAAGTGCACAAACAGAGTGGAGCAAGAACAAAATCTAAAGAGACAGTGCTTCTGTACTTACGCAAGCATTTCCCTTTTCCTATCCATCTGCCTCGTGAGCAGATCATGTAGGGATCACCATCCTTAACGTAGTTTGAAGGACAGACATAAGTAGCCGTTTCCCCCTCCTTATATTGCTCCTTAAAAACCTGTAATGCATGTTCGATTGATGGGGGTGGGCCACAGTCCAGTGTTTTTGCTGTTAACAGATAAACACACACATTTTATATAAAAGACAGAGAGAAGTACTAGCGCATGGCATGTTTGTGGCCTCTAGCCTGCCGAGTGAACATGTATGTGTTGTCACAGAAAAGATCTTAGTAAGTTGACACTGGCAATTAAAATGTTTTGAAAAGGAGAATAAGGTTATTTACGGGTAACTCCAGATGACAAAAAGGAGAACACGGACAAAGGAAACGTTAATGAATGGATGGATGGATGGTTGAATGGACGGATGGATGGATGGATGGATGGATGGATGCAAACTCTGACTGCTAGAAGGGACATATAGGCAAGCTGTAGTGTAGCCTAAACCCATTCTCAAGGAAAAAAAAATCTCAGTGAAAAAATGCAATAATGACTGCAGTAAAAGTACTGTTAATATTAAATAAGTACAAGTGCAAAAATAGCAGCACAAAAAAACTTCTTACTGAGTAACTGCAGTGGACATCTAGTACATCCAGCATCTCTTAGCGTAGGAATTAAAACTTGTTAGGATCTTCTTTTTTTTCTCTTTTTGGATCATTTTTGTGTAAATCAAATTGCTAATGCTCCAAAGTGAGAGGTGTGAGCAAGAGCAGATCAGTCCAGGAGCTGAACCAACAACAACAACAATAATAAAAGGAATTAGGAACTAATTCTTACAAGCAGACTTTAAAGTAAAAGTACCATCAGGAACGTACATATCCAAGTCAAAGATTTACAATTTACCTGATTAAATGTTGTTGAATAAAATCAACTCATTACTACCCACCTCTGAATATACTACTATATATGTATTTTGTGAGTAGGTACTTCAGGTTACATTCTGAGCTAGTTTCAGTCTTAACAGTCATCAGTTGCTAACTTGCTGCTAAGGCAACAACCAGTCAGAGTGCCCATGCTAACCCCTGTCCACCCTCAAAAGCACCCACAATGGGAATGCGAGCACTGGAAAGAGAAGTTGGATCAGTATTCTCCAATTGCAGTGACCTTGTTCAGCCTTGTTCTTCCTCATCATCCTGACACTACTGTTTTGGAGGCATCAAATTTGGATTTGACATGAGCATATATTTACAAAAAAAAAAAACAATAAAATGTATAAGGTATAACATCAGATATCTTTACATTAATACACCTTTATACTGGTCAAACAGAATTTACTAATCACTGCTCTCTGTTTTTAATGACATTATGCTGACTATCCTAACTTTTTTTGGCATTGTGTTTGTATTCAGCATTTGCATATTATGAGGAGGGGGCAGGGGCTCAGACATAGGCACCACATTGGTGTATGTAAGTTACATGTAATGTCGCATTTTTAAGTGTAAAGACGTTAACAACTTCTACAGCAAATTATTTTTAAAAATTAATATAAAATAAATCTGATTAAAAAAGTAATCATGACATTTACAAAAATGTAGACACCCTTCAAGTTGTGGTTGAGTTTTTAGGCCTTTACTGGCTTATTAGAACTGGTTGGGCAGGTCAAGAATTGTCCTTTGGAATTGTCAGCTGTCCAGAGCATAATAAATTCCTGACTCTTCAAACCTTGAACTAACACTCAACAACTATGAGTTCCTCAGAGCAGCTGGCTGAGGATCTGAAAATTAAGCTAACGTCTGATGTCTACAAAGCAGAGGAAAGCCATGGAATGTCTGGAATGTCATTAAAAATGGTAGTTAAGGGAAATTGTGGAAAGCATCCGGAAGACCAAGAAAACTGTCTGACAGAACTTGTGTATTGGCCAGTTTCCATTAAACCTGTTCTTGGACCTGTCCTGGTTTTTGAGTTCCCTGTTCCTTTCGTGACTTGATGAAAAATAGAAGCTGGTAAAAAAGATACTGATATTGCTGTGCTAATGTTGCTCATCTATGGTCTGAATATTTTGTTTAGTCTCTTCAAATGAATACTTGCCAGTGCAGTGGCGCATATAGTCCCAGTCTCCCTGCTCATTACAGGTGATGGTGAACCTGTCGGGTTCATATCCATGTAGGCACTGGTACTCGATATTTGTGCCTGGTTTCTTCAGTGTCTTTGCATTTTCGATTGTTGGCACGGTACACGTCACCTCTGAAAGACAGACAACAATTATAGTTCTCCACTTCAAAATATGGACATAATTAAGCACATGGCTTCTAAGATGGTGACTTATCAGTACACAGGCATTTAAGGTTTTTGTGCCTGACCGTCATGTCTGTTTCCTTCTTCACATGTAATTTTACAAGAAGTCCAAGAATTTAGTGTTGCACAAATACATGTCAGCAAAATGTTGCTCAAGAACTCAAGAACTTAGTAAGATGTAGGTGAATGAGGCCCATTATTCACTAGAGCTGCTTTTAGCAATGCATTCATTTACAGCTTTTTTAGAATAAAGATCAATTGTTAAAGAACATTTATGACAATGATAACAGGTTTCTTTACATTTACCTTTTATAGAATTCACCCAGGCAAAGCTCACTGAAAGAGAAGCCAGAAACTCTAAAACTCTAATGGTACCTAATAAAATATGTGTTAATGGCTGCAAAGTAAGAAGTGTTTGGTTGTTGTTTGGAAATATGTATACTAACACAGGATAAAGGGGAATACAAAACAGGAGAATGTTACTGTTCATGCTACACCTAAACCACGAATGATTCTAATCTAGCAGGATCTCAGAATGAGTGTGGACAACCATGAGAAACGTTGGGCTGAATGTTTGTGGGAGATCATAGACATACTAGGATGGGAACAATCTGGGACTGGGTACTGTCTGCAGCTTCATGATACGATATGCATCATGAAACAAGCGTCAAGATTACGAAATAATATAATAACAAAACACACCATGTACAACAGACATACACTGATCAGGCACATCCAAGTCCAAGTCAAGAGTGAGGCTTTGTAGTAGTTGAGTCCAAGTCAGGACCGAAACCGGAGTAAGATTTTTGAAAAAACAAAAATGTATCATTTAATCATTTAATCATTCATTATGCAAAGTGCATATATATTATAATAATATTCTAGTCTTAGTCTAACTTTATATTGTAACTTTGGGAAGCACATGTTGTTGAGGTTTTTCTCTGAGGGTGTAATTATCCTGTTTAGGTCAGATTAAAGGACAGATATTAAGTCTAGAACCTGCATTAGACAGTATTCTGAACACAATTTCTTCATTGAAATAAAAAAATTCTTAAATTTTGTTCTTAATCCCTGTCCAGCAAACTGACCCTGAATACCCCACTTAACCACACAGTCATAGCATTTAACTGTTGATGATTTACCAAAACAAACAGAATCTGAAGAATTCAGTCTTTAAAAACCGAGGAGTACCAGGCGTGTTATGAACATCCTGCATATAATAATATTATCAAATAAAATGATTGAAATATGAAGGTTATCAAATAAGAACAAAATGTAAATATTTAATAAATGTAAATAATGTTTTATTATGTAAACATTTACAATGATATCCTTTCTCTCTGCACTGCTTATTTGATTAAAAACAGTCTACAGATTATTACAGAAAAAGCCTTACCGGTTTGTGTTGAGGTATAAACACAGAAAAAGAAGGAAAGGCATTGTACGACTAGACTCCACTTCATTTTGTCAAAGTCAGTCAGTAAGACTGAGGAAACTCTGCTTTCAGCAAGGCAAATATTTCTCAATGATGTCCCACCCATTCCTGTAAATCCAACCTGCTGAAAAGTAAACTGCAAAAAAAAAATCTAACAAAAACCCTTTGCTGTCTGTAAAAGTAATCTCTAAAAGGCTTTTCCAGAATTTACAGAATTACAAAATATTTTGTAGCAAACAGACAAGTAGTGAGGCTAGAACACAATATTAGTTCCCTTTGTAGAAGAGGTTCTCATCCAAGAATTTGCTGGAGGTAAGAGGAAAAATTAGCTGATTAAAACAAATTCAAGTAAAGGTTCTCAAATCCACACTGTGTTGCCTGATCAATTATTCTAAAGTGCTGCTAGATTGTTTCCATGAGACAGTTGTTCTTATTTGCAGTCTTTAATCGTAATGCACACTCATATATATACATATATACACATACAGAATAGTTATAACAACAAAAACAGCAAGCTGACTTATGGAGATTTATAACTATAAGCATTATAAATTATTAGCATGATAAATTTAGGCTGCCCATTCCTGTATAAATCCAAAATGGTTACGATCTGGTTGGTTGGGAGTCAACATGCACAGTCAAAACCAATTTATACAGTTTTCACAAAGTTTCACGTGACATTCACTCGTGTTTTCTTATTCTTGGGTAAGAACAGAATCTACACACACTCACGAACACAAAGGTGTGAACAGTTCTGCAGTTTAAGAACATGTCATGAATCTGACGTAGATTTTTTGGGGGGCTTTATTGATAAATGAGGCCCAATGACCCTTGACCATCCCCAGTCACCCTCTAACCAGAGCTGCACAAACAGTAGCTCATGGGGAATATTTGGTCTATGAGCAAGTCTGAGTGACCCTGCAGATGATACCTGTCTGTCCAGACTTACGCAATTATGTAAATTCCTTTGTACACTGCAGTTCAAAAGTGTGGAATCAGTGTTTTCAATGAAATGAAACTAATTTGGTTGCAGATAAATGTAGAAAATGATTTAAATACATGAGTTCTACATCTAAAATGAAAGACTGTATAACATAACATATAGTATAACATAAAGACTGTAGTTATAATGAAACAAACATCTACAGTGTCTGGCATTTTAAAAGCAGTGATCAAATCCTGAAGCTTACATGACAATAAATGATTCCAAATAGACTTACATTATATTGTTTGTCATTTAATATTTTCTTGTTCGCAAAATACTTTAAATATTGAGGAAAATTCTGAAATAGCTTTTGGGCTGTTTATAGTATTAAAATATACTTTGTATAAGTTATTATTGTATATAATAAATATTAAATAATGCAAAAGTCTCTTTAAATGCATTTGCACAAGCCTCAACTGTCCCAAATGTCCAAAAGGAAGTGCTGTACTGCCAGTTACAGGCCAGGTGTATGATTTTTCCATATTTGCTCACCTGGTCATGTTCTTTCCCCCATTTGGGGAGACTGCACTTGGACTCCACCCACTCACACCTGCATGATATTCGAGGGCTCATTATGTGTTTTACCTGTGTGTTGCGACGTGTCTGTGTGCTGTACTTGAGTTCTGAGTGTGTCGTGTTTATATTGTTTTCCTGCTTGTCTTACTGGATTTGGACTGTGGACCTGTCTCTCTTGTTGCCTGCTTGTCTTTTGACCCCTGCCTGTTTTGACAGTACTGGACTGCCCCAAATAAGGCCACTCTGTAGTTGCAACTGGCTTACAAGCCTCTGACATTGCACACCTTTATATGCTGTTATTATCCCTTTATTACGATTCTTTTTCTCAACGATTCTCAACTAAATTAAGTCAATCCATATACTTTGATTCTGTGTTTGGTGTAGGAGGCTCTAACCTGCTCCTCCCAGAAATAATCTGTACACAACTGTGTATATAAACACAAACAACTGTTTTTTTTTTTTTCTTTGCTCTGTCTTGCTCTCTCTATGGACCAGATTCATAAAGCACACAGATTTACAGTGGCATTAAGAGCAAACAGAGAACCGGCAGCATGTTTTCACATTTGTGTGATATGTAGCACTGCTGTGATTTTCCCTGACTACAGTGCAAGAACAGAGCGATGATGTTTCCTTACACAGGTCATCAATAAATTCTGCAACTATACCCACTTTGCTGGTTATCCAGCTCTAACAATGTCATATCTTCCTGATATGGTCTGATCATTGTAACCTTCTTAAACCTCCAGCAGTTTCTTTTTCAAAATATTCCATGCTGTTGTTTTTGGCGCACCCAGTTGGTCTGCAGTGGTTCTGACTGGCATTTGATTCAATCTCATGTTTAAAACTACTTGCTTTTCCATGGTCAATTCTCTAGATTTGGTACTCTTTTGTAGTTTTTACGCCAAAGCAAGACCCGAATGGAAAATCCAGTGACTGCAACCAGCCCTACATTCACAGCTCTGTTATGTGTTTACAATAAAGGGAACACGGAACACCCGAGCAGCCAGAACCACCTGTCATTCATTTGTACCATACACTCAGCTGCAACAGGATGAGTTTAAAAAACAGCATTTTGTATCATAGCAGTGATTATACTCGCCAAGATAATAACATAAATTCACTACAATACCCAAAATGCAGTGCTCTCGAACCTCAAAACTACACATGACCATAGTTAATCTGGAAGGCAAAATCACACAAGCAGGTTTGGGATCGGGGCATAGCTAGAACTTTTAAAATGTGGTGGCCAGGTAAGACCCAGAGATTTTATTATGCTGACACACTGCTAAGAAAAAAAATAAATAAATTACTGTTTTAAAATGGCATAGAAAAGTGATGCATTTGTTTTTCTCTGTGCATAATTAAATTTGTCCATCATTTCCAAATTCATAAAATATTACATCAGTACAATTATTGCTGAAAGTAAACCTAAAGACAAAACTCAGGTTATACATGAGTCTAATGATTAGAAAGCCAGTCATACATCACTGTATAAAGGTAACCTACAACACATGTTCTGGATCCTGTTTATATACAGTTTCTTCTTTGCGTTTTAGAGTATTAACTTGCATTTGTGGATGCAGTGATGAACTGTTTTCACAGACAGTGGTTTTCAGAAGTGTTTCTGAGTGTTCTGGCCTTGTTCCTTACATACAGAGATTTCTCCAGATTCCTTGAACTTTTTAATGACATTATGTACTGTAGATGATGAAAAGCAAAGGTTCTTTGCTATTTTATGTTGAGAAACATTATTCTCGAATTGTTGCACTATTTGCCTGCTCAGTCTTTCACAGAGTGGTAACCCCTCATCATTACTTCTGAAAGCCTCAGCCTCTCTGAGATACCCAATCATGTTACTGATCTGTTACCAATTAACCACCAGGTGTTTTTTTTAGCACTAAACAACTTACCACTACCAGCCTTTTGTTGCCCCGTCCCAACTTTTTGGAATGTGTTGTTAGCATCAAATTCCAAATGGGCAGATATTTTCAAAAAAACAATAAAATTTCTCAGTTTCAACATCTGATATGTTGTTTTTGTACTATTTTAATGAAATATATGGTCTAAATAATTTGCACATCATTGCATTTTGTTTTTACTAACATTTTGCACAGCGTCAACGTTTTTGGAAATGGGGTTGAAAAAGGATGCAAAATTTGATTACAGGAGATAATCCACACCCCCTCATTATTCTCTCTGATAATACTCACTACGTGAAGAGAGCTATAGGCTAGTCGAATGCGCCATCATGAATGTAGCATCACTAGAGGAGATTTGAGAAATAAAAGTTTAAGCATAAAAATATCAGTCAGTAACTCAAGTCACAAGTCAAATGCTTTATTAATTTTGCTGGAAAACAAATAATGAACAACATAGAGCAAGCTAAGCTTAAGAGTAGTTCAAAGGGCTTCTGCTTTAATGCTACTTAAGAGGTTAAGTTTGTAAATGACATTATTTGATCTCCCAGGAGATGGATCGATTAATTATATCGAACACTGTGTTTTACAATCATCATTATTTTGGTTTGTTTAGCTCATGAAAGTGAGTGAAGCTCTCTGGTTATCATAATTTATTGTGTTTGACTGAACACAATCCATTCTTCTGCTAACTGAATGGAAGTTTATCTGAATGTAGTTTGAATGGCAGCCTCCTCAGTTATTTATCACCACACAAACATCTAAACTTCTAAGACAGCAGGTTAAAATGACTGATTCTTCTTTAAGCAGTGAAGTGCACAACTAACCCCCCACAGCACTTTAAAGGGAACCTGTGACTCACTATTCACAAACAGGCAAGGGAATTTCTCCATTATTGCAGCTCTGACGGAGGGGAACACTGCCTTCCGCTGGTCTATATCCGCTTTTACAAGAAAACCCAATAAAATCTCCATGTGTTGAATAGATTTTTTCTGTGTATTTATGCCTTAGCTGTATATTACGGTCATCTATAGCTTTAAGATCCACAGTGCAGGGTTCTGAAATCAAACAAACATGTTTTAATTAGTACATTCATGGTTGTGTTTGTGTTCAGTGAAATAACTGACAGTACATAGTACAGATTAAGACATGGAAAACATACAGATGGAAAAAAGAGCATCTCCTTATTATAATACAGTTACTCCTCTGTGTATCACTCTGCTCTGTGTGGTTTGTGTAACTCTGGAGTTCCTCTTCCTCATTTTAATTCCTGGATTCCCTGAACTGCACATTTTTGTGTTTTCCCAGCTCTAACATACTCGAGCTAACCTGAAGCTCAGTAATGAGACGATGAGTGGAATCAAGTGTGCTGTTAGCAGAATAAACACTAAAATGTGCAGAGAAGAAGAACATCAGGACCAGCATTGTGAATCACTGATATACTTCAGAAATTGAGAGACTAGTTTTAGTGACTAATTGTTGTTTATGACCTCCCTTAAGGGCTAACGTCCAGCTACAACTGCCCGGATACACAGCGACTTGCATGTTTATTAGATACATTAATGTAGTTCTTCTGTAATTGGTCATTTAATCAGCTGACCATAGAGGTGCACATTATAGGTACACTGTAAAACACAACAGCTGTACTATCTTAATTTTTTTGGTTTACTTTTGTTAAACTTGCTAATGCAAATCAAGTAACAATTTCTTGTGTAATAACTTGGGTACTTAGGTAAATCTAGCTAGTCAATTCATCCGGATAAGTCCTACTGCCTGAAAAGTCTGTTTCCCAAAACGCTTCCCAGCATCCTTAGCGATTTGGTTGGTTTATGTTAATTAACTTATATGTTTCCATATTTTCATTCGTTCTCTTTTGCTTAATGTTAATTTTAAGTCAAAATAAATTCATCATGCTGAAATGTTGTGTTTGAATGTATTTTACATCACATTATTTTTTTCACCAGCAATAAATGATACATATCAGTCCTCAAACAGCTTTCAGACACAGTGGAAAAGATTCATAAAGCCAGTCGAGTCCTCAGAAATCTGTGACTCTTGTCTTATCTGAGCTGTTTGTTTATTTACTGTATAAAACAGTCCATTTAAAATAAAGTTGTTTCAGTTGATGCCAATTCATTACACAGGAATGTGTTTTTTACTTAAGTTTAAGGTTAAGCAGAACTTCAAAAAGTAGAGCGCTGCCAGCTCAGCAGAACCCTTTTAAAATTACTAGGCTGCTTCAGTCAACCTTACTTGCTGCAAGTAAGTGTGGATCCAGGAAAAGTCGAAAGAAACTATGACACAAATCTAAGGTTAATTAAGCTGAACCTGTTACGTAACTTCGCTTAATAAGTCTAATAATAATAAAATTAATGAGTCTTCTGATTTAAGTTTACAGTGTACATGATTACTGACTGTAGCTCATCTGTCACTTTGCACAGTCCTCAACCGCTCTTCACAGCACAGCAGTGACCCTGAGGTGCCATTTTATTCATGAACTCATTTTTGACATTTGCTGAAATAAATTAGCTGAAATCAGCTTCTATCACTGAGCAGTAAACGTTTAGAATAATTTGGTTTGGTTACACCTGAAAATGTGTGTTTAAATGATATTAACCTCTTTAACTCTGTGGAACCACTGATGGTCCAAAAACGCACTTCGCCATATTCTTTACTTCATAACTTCATACTTCATACTTCATACTTCATATGAGAGCTGTAACTGTGGTCTTTCCAGTCCAATAGATGGGAAATGTAATTTAAAACTTTATAATACAAGAAGCTGAACTGACATTTGTTCTTCCTCCTGAAATTTGACCCATTCTCCACAAATCTGTGCTAGAAACTGAATCTGAGATGGTGTCTCTTCAGTGATCTGCTCTGTAAAAATTATTTTTATGAAAAAATACAAAGAGAGATTTTTGGCTTTCAGCAGTAAATTGTAAGCATATGGCATTATGTTTATAATAATAAAACACATTTTCTGTTAATTTGAGGTGAACATTAAAAAAAAAAAAACTTTACATTTCATGCAGCTACTTTATAATTTGCCTTATGATTTGGGCATTTAAATTCAGATGGAAAACCACAATATACTCACAAACATAAGAGGTTAAATAACAGTGTTTTTGTAATGTTTAAAGTTTCTGAAGTCTAATGTTTCAAATGCATTCTTTGATTATTTTTTTTAATTACATGCCCATGTATTTGCTTGCTTGCTTATTTATTTAGTTATTGATTGATTGATTGACTGATTGATTGAACCAGTCACATTTCCTCACTGACATCATTTTTTAAAAGTGAGCTTCAATCAGCCAATTAAAATACAAGAATTACTCTTCCTTTATAAAAAAAAAATCATAAACCTTGTACCCTATCTTCTAATTCATATTTTCTAAAAAGAGCTTTTGTTTAGGGCACTGCTACAAATTTTAGCTTCTGTGTGGTCAGTATTACAGATCACACACTAACAGTCCAGTCAGCCTGTCAGATACAAAGACCTAAGCAGCTCATCACACGCAAGAGAGCAATAACCAGCGCACAAATCAGTGTTTTCAAATATATATGTTTTCTTATTAGTCCACATTCAGTTACTGAAGATAGCGTTTTAAAAAACCTCAGTGACCCTAAGCTCTGTTTACATTGTAACGGAGGCTAAAACCCCAGAGAAAAACACTAAAAGGATAGAGCTAGTCTGTGTGCATTAGCCTACTAGCAACCATGATGACTGTGTAGCTGAGCAGTTTAGACTAACAGTTTTAAAAGACTGTGATGTGCTGTGTTTTACTATTGACTGTGTTTGTAAAAGGTATTAGTATCTCAGTAGGTTTAGCTTCTGCCGTGGATGCAGTATATATTCTCTGGGTTACTCACGCCTGACGGTTACGCTGCCTTTGGAACCTTTTGGAACAGTCAACGCTGAAGTAAAATGTTTTATAGTTTTTGATTTTTTGGTTCATGCATGATTCTTTGCTGCAGTGTCTGCTATTTGTATTTCTCTCTTTCAGTCACATGATATAAATGGGACTTGCAAATGTCTCAACCTAACCAATCAGTATAACTTGATGATATTATCGATAGTTGCTGCAGCCCTAATGTACATCTCTATATATGTATAAATAACATTTTCTGCAGGTGCTAATGCGTAGTTACTTTATATTTGATTAACTTAAAAATAGAAAACAATAAAATACAACTACTCACTCCAGCACTTCCCACTTCCTGTCCATCTGCCTTGTGTGCAGGTCAGATAACCTTCCTTTTTGTAGAATGCAGGACAGTCATAAGCAGCTTTTTCACCGTGCTCATATCGATCCTTAAAATCCTGTACGGCATCTTCAATCTGTGGAGGCCGGCCACAGTCTAGTGTGGTTTTTGCGCACACACACACACACACACACACACACACACACACACACACACACACACACAGACAAGCACATGAAAATGCTATTTAAAAGAGTTGTAACTTAATTTGCTATGGCAAGTTTTTTTGGCCTATGTCAAATTCTTGACAGATTCTTGTTGCCTTAGCTTGTATTTATCCTAGATAAGGAGAACTGATGCTGTTATAAAGCCATAAATACATAAGAACAAGCTTATAAAACACTGATGTTAAAGGTTTTATAAAATATCAAAACTAGTTTTCTAAGAAACATTTTCTTGCAGAATTGTACACTAGGTTTGATACAGCTTCCAAATAACACATCATTTAAACAGTTTAAAACAACAAAATAACATGTGTGTAAAATGTTTAATGTAACACAGGATAGTGGTGTAGGACTTATCTGAGCTGCTGACCCTGTAAAGCAACAAATTTAAAATAACCTTGCTAGAAATATTTTAGTGATATAGGCTAAAATCTAAGCCCAAAACTGTGAGGAGCTTCTTACCTTTTCCAGAGGTCTTGGGAGGTGTTGTACCAGGTTGATCGTGCTTTACTGAAGATGGTACAATGAAAACAACAACGGGTCAGTCTTAAAAAAAATCAAATCGATGTGTGCTTTAAAACACACAATCTAAGACGGTTGTGATTTAGAGTGAGCATGTACCTGAGCTGTAATGACTTGAACACATCTAATGCCTAAAATCCTACCTTTTAAAAAACTGGAAACCTAGAAATCAGGAAATGAATGAGGGTATTTTCTGTTACAAGCAGTGTTTTTTGCTTTTTTTCCTTTATAATTTTATTTACAAGACACAACAATGATCAGTTCTGAATTCCTGCTTTTGTTAATGTGTCCTTCCTAACATTACACTGAAAAAGTAAAAATTCAGTTGTACAGGTTCATTAACGACGTTCATCCAACAACGATTCATCCAACAACGATGAATCGGCCTACAGAGAGGAGGTTAAAATCCTGGAAAACTGGTGCCAGGAGAATAACCTCTCTCTAAACGTCAGTAAGACCAAGGAGCTGATCGTGGACTTCAGGAAGCAGGAGACAGTACACCCATCGATTTCCATCAATGGGACTGCGGTAGAGAGGGTCAGCAGCTTTAAGTTTCTCGGTGTTCACATCAGCGAGGACCTGACATGGGCAGTGCACACCTCACAGGTGGTGAAGAAGGCCCACCAGCGCCTCTACTTCCTCAGAAGGCTGAGGAGGTTTGGCCTGAACCCCAGCATCCTTAAGACCTTCTACACCTGCACTGTGGAAAGCATCCTGACGGGCAGCATCACCACCTGGTACGGGAACTATACTGTTCGTGAGAGGAAATCTCTGCAGAGGGTGGTGCGGACAGCACAGTCCATCACCGGGGTTCAGCTCCCTAACCTATTGGATTTATACACCAGTCGCTGCCTGAGGAAATCCAGAAGGATTATGAAGGACCCCTCCCATCCTAGTCACTGTCTGTTCTCTCAGCTGCCGAGTGGTAGGAGGCTCAGAAGCTTAAAAGCCAGAACCAGTCGGCTCAAAGACAGCTTCTTCCCCCATGCAACCAGGCTATTGAACAGCCAGTAATCACTGCTCTGCCCAGCCCAACCCTTCCCATTACACGTACGTGCACCCACTGTACTCCCGCACTTTACTTGCATAACTGGACTTTGAATACCTATCCAAAGACAATACTCTCCCCCTGCGCTTCCACTTAACTTCCTGTACCTTGCACTTTGCTAAATACTCTGCCACCTACTGTACCATCTTCTACCTCCACACCTAGTGTGATTACTTGCACATCTACATAGCATTGTAATATCCATTACTATATATAGTATATAGTTGATTACACTCACTCTACATTCCCAGTGCAATATTATATGTCTCGGTGCAATATTATTATTTTTAAGTTATTGTGTAAGATTATATGTATATATTTTAGTTAAATTGGTTTTATCTATTCTTCTATCCTATCTATAGTTTTGTTTATCTATGTGTAAATACTGTTCTCTGCATAATTTGTGGAACTCGCACTCAAGTTTTTCACTCACCTGTGTCCCTGTACTCTTGTGATGTGACAATAAATCTGATTTGATTTGATTTGATTTGATTAAAACATTCTCAGTCAGGATACCCCCAAAACAATCCTACAGTGAACTGGACTGAGCGGTGGATCTTTACATGTCCAGCCAATGCTCCTGGTAATAACAGAAGTGAGAGTGAGAATCCACTGACCTGCCAGTTTATTACGTGCACATACCTTGTACCTCTCAGTGACTATTTTATCTACTACACTCACTAAGTGAAATACCAGATTGTTAGGCTTAGTACTGTTTCTACCTGCATTTGTGGACACAGCGACTTGTTTACTGGCAGCAGTTTGTCAAATTATTCCAGCAGCTCCATTTAGTGAATGACATTTAGTCAACACTACAGACATAAAGCTGAAACTAAACACTGAAAACTGCCAATATTGGTGAGATGGATAACGTCTTATCAGAGCAAAGAAGCTGGCGGACGAAAAGCTGACTTCAGCTTCCAAATTTTAGTGTTTGACAGTTTCTCATTGCAGAATAACTATATCAGGAAACCAGCTGTATTGCTTATAAATTTAAATAAGTCTGTCCATTCGTCTCTAAATTATCGATGTTCTAAAACTTTTTTCTTTGCCTTTTGGTTAGCTACTAGCTAGGCAGGATCGTTGTCTGCGTTGCTGTGTGAACAGCAGTCTGCGCGCCAATCTTCAGGTTTAAAGGCTGGTAAGCAGTTATGCCTTAATTGTAGCTGTTATAACCATTTAGTATTAAAACTGTGTTAGAAATGTGTGTTAGAAGACTCAGCAAAGCTTTATTTTACTGCAGAGGAGGATTATTTATTATTGCCTAAAGTCTAATTCTGCTGTGGAGCTGTAAGAGAGCAGTAAAAGAGCCGCATGTGGCTCCGGAGCAGCACGCTGGACTAGAGCTTTCTTCAATGCTCATTTTATATCCAAGCATGATTACATCACCTGTATAAGATGCTGTCTTAACATTTGACAATATTTCTAGTCTTAAGTTGCCCCCATGCCAACTTTTTTTTTACTAGGCTGTTTCAGTTAACCTTACTTGCTGCAAGTAAGTGTGGATCCAGGAAAAGTCGAAAGAAGCTATGACACAAATCTAAGGTTATTTAAAATGAACCTGTTACGTAACTTTGCTCAATTTTTTGAGAGAATAAGTTTGCATGATTTTTTACAGTCATCTGCTTTAAGTTTACAGTGTACATGATTACTGACTGTAGCTCATCTGTCACTTTGCACAGTCCTCAACCGCTCTTCTCCACATAGCAGTGACCCTGTGCCAACTTTTTTGGAACATGCTGCAGGCATCAATTTCAGAAAGAATGTATATAAAATGAAATATGGTAAAACATAATATATCTTGTCTGTACTGTTTTTGTTCAAGTACAGGTCAAAGTAGATTTATACATCACTGCTTGCTGTTTTTATTTGCATTTAACTTGTCCCAAATTTTTTGGAACTGGGTTTGTAAGATCAAGCTTGTAAAAGTCTTCTAAAATATCGAAATTTGTTTATATTAAACTTTTTTTCTTCAGTACATCAGTTTTGGACGGCATCAATATGCGTGTTTGTTTTTTTCAAAACTTGACAGTTTTTCATCTGCAGAAATCTGAGCTTTCCTTTACTATTACTGTAGCTTATTATTATTATTATTATTATTAACATCATTATTATTATTATTGTTAGATGATTAATAACAATAATAGGCTTTGTCTTTTTTTAAGCATGACTGCAGCATGAAAAATCAAAAAGTGCTGCCTTGAAATCAAAGATCTTAATGAAGTCCATCTAAAGCCGTGGACAGTGCATTTTCTGACATTTAAATCATTGATTGCAATCGAGACAGAAGGAATGATTCAGCAATTCATGATACTGTAATTAACCCGAGTGAAAAACAGTGCATGACCACACAGAGTGGCCAAAGATGCTGATATTGCTGTGATCACTTTGCTCATCTTTGGTCTGAATGTTTGGCTGTTAGTCTCTCCAAATGTTTAACACATGGATACTTGCCAGGGCAGGGACGTATATTGTTCCATTCTCCCTGCCAACCACAGGTGATTTCAAACCTGCTAGATCCATGTAGACACTGGTACCGAATACGTGCACCTGGTTTATAAGGACGTTGTGGATTCTCTGGCAGTCTTGCGTTTTCAATTGTTGGCTCAGGACACACAATCTCTCAAAAACAGGCAAGACTTTTTCATACTTCTCTGCTTTGAAATAAGGAAGCTAATTAACCACACACTTCCACAGACAGGGACTTACCAGTACACAGTGGGTTTGGAAGCCAGCCGTTCTCTGTACACGTGGCAGTTCTAGCTCCTGCCCGATACCCACTTTCACACCGGTATGGTTTTTCGACCCCCAATCTTCTGTCCCTACTAAAGTAGTAGTGAACATAGTCCACATGCTGGTCATAGGGAATATCACAAGTAATTTCTGCAAAGATGTTTAGATGTTAATTACTGTATGTTATAATTGAAGCACCAAGAATGTTTTTGCAGTTTTTATATTTGTGTATTCTTTACCCTCACACACAGGCGAGTGTTCCCATTCACCACTTTCTTTGCATATAATGTTTCGTTTGATCTCTCTTGTTCCGTACAACCAGAGTCTTTCTGAGCAGGTGATCTCTACACTCTCTCCAACCCTGAATACATTCTTCCCTTTTGGGCTTGTGCTTGTTCCAGGTGTGGGTGGCCCAAGCAGACAATTAATTTCTGTGGTAGACAAAATGCAGCAGACTGAAAACTGAATTCATTATTTTCTAGCAAGAAATACAGATATTTATGAAATGCTTTTTGAACTTTTAAAAAAAAGAATATTTGAGAATATTTCAACTTTTCAAATAAATAATAACTATCCAAAGTTTTTGTGTTGAGTTTTCCTCCCAATTTTTCTTCTTTTAGTAATTTCAACTCATGATGCTCATTACCAAATCTGCCTACAAAATTAAACATTTTAAGGATATTTTTACCAAAAATGACTGAATAACAGGGTTGAAACCTCACTAAAAGGTTTGAACACAGATCATATTCCCTATTAAATTGATATTTATGCAGTAATATATCATATAACATATACAACTTAGAGTAGCAGGAAACGCTGATAAATTGTTTTAATCAACGTTTTCACTAAAATCTTAGTTTCAAGCCTTTTTCATTTAATTGTCACTGAAAATCTAAACTAATCTAAAATCTTAAAATCTAATCTAAACAGCACTTAAATTGAACCTGTCTGGCAGTGTGAAACACTTAGGTCTGTCTGTCACAATTGAACAAGTCAGGTGTGTAGTCATTATTTGTCACCCATCAGCTCATGTAAATGTTATTATAATTATATACTTTCATAGTTTCTGGTTCTCAGATTTTATTTTTTTCAGAGTGTGCATATCTGTCATGCATTATAATTTCTGGCTAATCTGACTTTAGCTACATGTGTGTTTTTTTTGTCCCTCAGCTCTAATCAGTTGTTGGCACTACAAGGTATGCAGGGGAATCAGGTGCAGGGTACAGTGAATGAGGCATTCTGGCAAGATTGCAGTCCAAGACCAGTCAAGCAGGTGTCACAGCTGTTGTCTCATGGATGGCAGTGTTGATAGCCAGGCGAAACTCAGGGAGCCATTTTTCCCAATTTGGCTGTCTGCTTCCCAAAAATGAGATGATTATTGTCTTATGGGTCTTGTTCACCCTTTCAGTCAGGTTTGTCTGTGGATGGTAGGCTGTGGATAACTTCTGAACCACACTCCAGGATTTGCACAAGGTGAAAGCTGGCAGTCTTAAAGAGCTCTCCATCAAGCTCTCCATCACTGAACAATGTCCACTCTCTTACCCTTCCCCTCTTTACTGAGACCAGTACCCGACCGCCATTGAGACCAGCGGTTATCAACATACAAAATCAACGCCCAGAAAATGATCTTTCCTTCATAGAAGAGTAAATAACAGTAGTAGAGGCACAGTGAACTATATTTGACAAGGAGCATAATATGTCTTTTAAATAGGGGTGGTCTTTGCACTAGGCAAAGGTAGGCATGTGTCTGGGGCCCTCATGACCCTTAAAAAATACATACAAATTAAATAAACTGTACAGATTGATGTTGAATAAGCTATTCCTTTCTTCCAAGTCATTTTGGGCCATTTCTTTTAGTCCAATCATCATGAAATTTACACACAATGTAAAGAGCATCAGGTACTTTCATGTATACATATATATTTCATATATATATATATATATATATATTTAGATGTTATTTATTATTGTTAAGATTTTCTTCAGTAATTGCAATGCAGCCAAACCCAGTCAAGATTATAATAATATGCCTACATCATGACTCAAGACAGGCTGGTATAAAGATGGCAATGAAGTGATAATACAACCACATTTCCAAAAAAGTTGGGATGCTGTGCAGAATGTAAATAAAAATAGAATGCAATATATGCAAATCATGTAAACCCTATATTTAAATGAAAATACTACAAATACAACGTTTGGGGACTGAGAAGACCAATTGCTGTGCTTTTGAAAGTGAAATGTTTTCCCATTTTTGCTTGATATAGGATTTCAGCTGCTCAACAGTTCAGGGTCTCCTTTGTGAGGGTGGCGGCATTCCTGGATCCAGTTTATGGAAGTTTATTTCTTCTTTGCATTTTAGAGTTTTAACTTGCATTTGTGGATGCAGTGATGAACTGTTTTTACAGACAGTGGTTTTCAGAAGTGTTTCTGAGCCCATGCAGTGATTTCCACTACAGAACCATGTCTGTTTTTAATGCAGTGTCGTCTCAGCCTCTCTGAGATGCTCATTTTGTACCCAATCATGTTACTGACCTGTTACCAATTAACCACCAGGTGTTTTTTACACAACTGTACCAGCCTTTCCTTGCCCCTGTCCCAACCTTTTTGGCCTGTGTTGTTGACATCACATTCAAAATGGGCAAATATTTTCCAAAAAACAATAAAATTTCTAATAAAGTTTCAACATTTGATATGTTGTCTTTCAATGAAATATAGAATTGAAATGATTTGCACATCATTGCGTTTTAATTTTATTTACATTTTGCACAGCGGTTTTTTGGAAATGGGGTTGTAATTTTGAAGACGTGATTCTTTGGTATGATTTTCTGGGTGCTGAGAATGACAATCTAATAAAGTACAGCAGAGAAACCCCAAAATAAGGAGGAAAGCAGAGTCAGAACAGAGCACTTCATAGGCCCAGCAGACCATATATAATCCTAGCATTAATGTTAGTATAGATCGATCCTGTGTTGGGTAATTAATCCACAACAGATTACTGTTTTTTTCCAAACTAATTAAAAAAAAATACTAAAAGTTACTATTTAACTTTCTTATAACCTTTTCAGACTTTTTGAAATGTTACTTATTACTTGCTGGAAAAAGTAACCTCTCTACTCATTACTTCTTCCTTACTCTGTAGCAAATTATCTCATTATAATCAGCTGAATTATCTGCCACTATAGTCATATTATTTCACTTAGGAAGTGAAAAATGTCTAGAATGAAATAATCTGAGAATTCTTATAGCAATGTTAAAATGAGAAATATTGGAGATATTGACTAAATTAGAATGATTTAATTTTGTTGCATTGTAGACTTAACTAAAAATGTGCATGTAGGGGGCCACAGTTTTACTAAATCTGCCCCTGCCTTTAAGCAGAAACTACTCTGTGTGTTAATCTCTAGAAACAAGACTACTAAAAGTGCACAAACAGAGTGGAGCAAGAACAAAATCTAAAGAGACAGTGCTTCTGTACTTACGCAAGCATTTCCCTTTTCCTATCCATCTGCCTCGTGAGCAGATCATGTAGGGATCACCATCCTTAACGTAGTTTGAAGGACAGACATAAGTAGCCGTTTCCCCCTCCTTATATTGCTCCTTAAAAACCTGTAATGCATGTTCGATTGATGGGGGTGGGCCACAGTCCAGTGTTTTTGCTGTTAACAGATAAACACACACATTTTATATAAAAGACAGAGAGTACTAGCGCATGGCATGTTTGTGGCCTCCAGCCTGCCGAGTGAACATGTATGTGTTGTCACAGAAAAGATCTTAGTAAGTTGACACTGGCAATTAAAATGTTTTGAAAAGGAGAATAAGGTTATTCACGAGTAACTCCAGATGACAAAAAGGAGAACACGGACAAAGGAAACATGGATGGATGGATGGATGGATGGATGGATGGATGCAAACTCTGACTGCTAGAAGGGACATATAGGCAAGCTGTAGTGTAGCCTAAACCCATTCTCAAGGAAAAAAAAATCTCAGTGAAAAAATGCAATAATGACTGCAGTAAAAGTACTGTTAATATTAAATGAGTACAAGTGCAAAAGTAGCAGCACAAAAAAACTTCTTACTGAGTAACTGCAGTGGACATCTAGTACATCCAGCATCTCTTAGCATAGGAATTAAAACTTGTTAGGATCTTCTTCTTTTTTTTCTCTTTTTGGATCATTTTTGTGTAAATCAAATTGCTAATGCTCCAAAGTGAGAGGTGTGAGCAAGAGCAGATCAGTCCAGGAGCTGAACCAACAACAACAACAATAAAATGAATTAGGAACTAATTCTTACAAGCAGACTTTAAAGTAAAAGTACCATCAGGAACGTACATATCCAAGTCAAAGATTTACAATTTACCTGATTAAATGTTGTTGAATAAAATCAACTCATTACTACCCACCTCTGAATATACTACTATATATGTATTTTGTGAGTAGGTACTTCAGGTTACATTTTGAGCTAGTTTCAGTCTTAACAGTCATCAGTATTCAGCATTTGTATATAATGAGGAGGGGGCAGGGGCTCAGACATAGGCACCACATTGATGTATGTTAGTTACATGTAATGTCGCATTTTTAAGAGTAAAGACATAAACAACTTCTGCAGCAAATTATTTTTAAAAATTAATATAAAATAAATCTTATTAAAAAAGTAATCATGACATTTACAAAAAATGTAGACACCCTTCAAGTTGTAGTTGAGCTTTTAGGCCTTATTAGAATTGGTTGGGCCGGTCAAGAATTGTCCTTTGGAATTGTCAGCTGATGTCCAGAGCGTAATAAATTCTCTGACGCTTCAAACCTTGAACTAACACTCAACAACTATGAGTTCCTCAGAGCAGCTGGCTGAGGATCTGAAAATTAAGCTAACGTCTGATGCCTACAAAGCAGAGGAAAGCCATGGAATGTCTGGAATGTCATTAAAAATGGTAGTTAAGGGAAATTGTGGAAAGCATCCGGAAGACCAAGAAAACTGTCTGACAGAACTTGTGTATTGGCCAGTTTCCATTAAACCTGTTCTTGGACGCTGTCCTGGTTTTTGAGTTCCCTGTTCCTTTCGTGACTTGATGAAAAATAGAAGCTGGTAAAAAAGATACTGATATTGCTGTGCTAATGTTGCTCATCTATGGTCTGAATATTTTGTTTAGTCTCTTCAAATGAATACTTGCCAGTGCAGTCGCGCATATTGTCCCAATCTCCCTGCTCATTACAGGTGATGGTGAACCTGTCGGGTTCATATCCATGTAGGCACTGGTACTCGATATTTGTGCCTGGTTTCTTCAGTGTCTTTGCGTTTTCGATTGTTGGCACGGTACACGTCACCTCTGAAAGACAGACAACAATTATAGTTCTCCACTTCAAAATATGGACATAATTAAGCACATGGCTTCTAAGATGGTGACTTATCAGTACACAGTGGTTTTGGAGACCAGCCGTTCTCTGTACATGTGGCAGTTCTAGCTGTTGCCTGATAACCATGTTCACACTGGTATGGTTTACCGACTCACAATTTTCTGTCCCCACCAAAGTAGTAAAAAGGAGACTGAACATGCTCCTCAAAAGGAATATCATAAGTAATTTCTGCAAAGATATTTGTTTTTATTATTGTGATATTGCTGAAGTATCTGAAGGGCTATTATCTTCATATTCTGCCTGTATACTCCAGCTCTTTCTAAGGCATTTAAGGTTTTTGTGCCCGACCGTCATGTCTGTTTCCTTCTTCACATGTGAATGAGGCCCATTATTCACTAGAGCTGCTTTTAGCGACGAATTCATTTACATCTTTTTTACAATAAACATCAATTGTTGAAGAACATTTATGACAATGATAACAGGTTTCTTTACATTTACCTTTTATAGAATTCACCCAGGCAAAGCTCACTGAAAGAGAAGCCAGAAACTCTAAAACTCTAATGGTACCTAATAAAATATGTGTTAATGGCTGCAAAGTAAGAAGTGTTTGGTTGTTGTTTGGAAATATGTATACTAACACAGGATAAAGGGGAATACAAAACAGGAGAATGTTACTGTTCATGCTACACCTAAACCACGAATGATTCTAATCTAGCAGGATCTCAGAATGAGTGTGGACAACCATGAGAAACGTTGGGCTGAATGTTTGTGGGAGATCATAGACATACTAGGATGGGAACAATCTGGGACTGGGTACTGTCTGCAGCTTCATGATACGATATGCATCATGAAACAAGCGTCAAGATTACGAAATAATATGTTAACAAAACACACCATGTACAACAGACATATTTGGTCAGTATTCACTAGTGTAGTCAAGACCATTAGAGGCAAGTCTGAGTCCAGGATGAAAACTGGATGTATCAAGTCCAAGTCAAGACCGAGGCTTTGTAGCAGTCAAGTCCAAGTCAGGACCGAAACCGGAGTAAGATTTTTGAACCTGCACTACACAGCATTCTGCATGGAGATACTCCATTGAAATAAAAAATGTTCAGAAAATGTTCTTAATCCCTGTCCAGGAAACTGACCCTGAATGCCCCATGTAAACACACGATCATAGCATTTAACTGTTGATGATTTACCAAAACAAACAGAATCTGAAGAATTCAGTCTTTAAAAACCGAGGAGTACCAGGCGTGTTATGAACATCCTGCATATAATAATATTATCAAATAAAATGATTGAAATATGAAGGTTATCAAATAAGAACCAAATGTAAATATTTAATAAATGTAAATAATGTTTTATTATGTAAACATTTACAATGATATCCTTTCTCTCTGCACTGCTTATTTGATTAAAAACAGTCTACAGATTATTACAGAAAAAGCCTTACCGGTTTGTGTTGAGGTATAAACACAGAAAAAGAAGGAAAGGCATTGTACGACTAGACTCCACTTCATTTTGTCAAAGTCAGTCAGTAAGACTGAGGAAACTCTGCTTTCAGCAAGGTTAATATTTCTCAATGATGTCCCACCCATTCCTGTAAATCCAACCTGCTGAAAAGTAAACTGCAAAAAAAAAAATCTAACAAAAACCCTTTGCTGTCTGTAAAAGTAATCTCTAAAAGGCTTTTCCAGAATTTACAGAATTACAAAATATTTTGATGCAAACAGACAAGTAGTGAGGCTAGAACACAATATTAGTTCCCTTTGTAGAAGAGGTTCTCATCCAAGAATTTGCAGGAGATAAGAGGAAAAAAGTAGCTGATTAAAACAAATTGAAGTAAACGTTCTCAAATCCACAGTGTTGCCTCAGTTGTTGTAAAGTGCTGCTAGATTGTTTCCATGAGACAGTTGTTCTTATTTGCAGTCTACAACTGTATCACATATATATACACCAATCAGGCATAACATTATGACCACCTCCTTGTTTCTGCGCTCATTGTCCATTTTATCAGCTCCACTTACTATATAGGTGCACTTTGTAGTTCTACTGTTACAGACTGTAGTCCATCTGTTTCTCTGCATACTTTGTTAGCCCCTTTTACCCTGTTCTTCAGTGGTCAGGACCCCCATGGACGCTCACAGAGCAGGTACTATTTGGGTGGTGGATCATTCTCAACACTGCAGTAACACTGATGTGGTGGTGGTGTGTTAGTGTGTGTTGCGCTGGTATGAGTGGATCAGACACAGCAGTGTTGCTGGAGTTTTTAAACACTGTGTCCACTTACTGCCCACTCTATTAGACACTCCTACCTTGTCAGTCCACCTTGTAAATGTAAATTCAGAGACGATAGCTCATCTGCTGCTGCACAGTTTGTGCTGGTCATCCTCTAGTCCTTCATCAGTGGTCACAGGACGCTGCCCACAGGACGCTGTTGGCTCAATATTTTTGGTTGGTGGACTATTCTCAGTCCAGCAGTGACACTGAGGTGTTAATCAGCATGATACATTTAGGCTGCCCATTCCTGTATATATCCAAAATGGTTACGATCTGGTTGGTTGGGAGTCAACATGCACAGTCAAAACCATTTTATACAGTTTTCACACAGTTTCACTCAACATTCACTCGTGTTTTCTTATTCTTGGGTGAGAACAGAATCTACACACACTCACGAGCACAAAGGTGTGAACAGTTCTGCAGTTTAAGAACACGTCATGAATCTGACGTAGATTTTTTGGGGGGCTTTATTGATGAATGAGGACCAATGACCCTTGACCATCCCCAGTCACCCTCTAACCAGGGCTGCACAAACAGTAGCTCAATATTTGGTCTAAGAGCAAGTCTGAGTGACCCTGCAGATGACATCTGTCTGTCCAGACTTATGCAATTATGTAATTTCCCTTGTACAGTTCAAAAGTGTGGAATCAGTGTTTTCAATGAAATGAAACTAATATAGTTAAATACGTGAGTTCTACGTTACATTTATCAAATAATTTGCAGGACACAGAGAATCTGGCAAAAATGAAAATGTTTAGTTAGATGTAAGTAGAGTGATGTAAAGAGCTGTATGTGGTTCTAAAATGAAAGAGAAAACTGTATAACATCAAGAATGTACTTATAATAATATGAACATCTACATTACCTGGCATTTTAAAAGTAATGATCAAATCCCAAAGCTTACATGACAATAAATGATTGCAAATAGACTTTTACATTATATTGTTTGTCATTTAATATTTTCCTATTGTTCCCAAAATACTTTAAATATTGAGGAAAATTCTAAAATACCTTTTAGGCTGTTGATGATATTAAAATATACTCTGTGGAAGTCATTACTGTATGATGTGCAAAAGGGCAATACTGTCCCAAATGTCCAAAAGGAAGTGCTGTACTGCCAGTTACAGGCCAGGTGTATGATTTTTCCATATTTGCTCACCTGGTCATGTTCTTTCCCCCATTTGGGGAGACTGCACTTGGACTCTCCCTGACTCCACCCACTTACACCTGCATGATATTCGAGGGCTCATTATGTGTTTTACCTGTGTGTTGCGACGTGTCTGTGTGCTGTACTTGAGTTCTGAGTGTGTTGTGTTTATATTGTTTTCCTGCTTGTCTTACTGGATTTGGACTGTGGACCTGTCTCTCTTGTTGCCTGCTTGTCTTTTGACCCCTGCCTGTTTTGACAGTACTGGACTGCCCCAAATAAGGCCACTCTGTTGTTGCAACTGGCTTACAAGCCTCTGACATTGTACACCTTAATATGCTGTTATTATCCCTTTATTACGATTCTTTTTCTCAAGATCTCAAGTTAATTAAGTCAATCCATATACTTTGATTCTGTGTTTGGTGTAGGAGGCTCTAACCTGTTCCTCCCAGAAATAATCTGTACACAACTGTGTATATAAACACAAACAACTGTTTTTTTCTTTTCTTTGCTCTGTCTTGCTCTCTCTATGGACCAGATTCATAAAGCACACAGATTTACAGTGGCATTAAGAGCAAACAGAGAACCGACAGCATGTTTTCGCATTTGTGTGATATGTAGCACTGCTGTGATTTTCCCTGACTACAGTGCAAGAACAGAGCGATGATGTTTCCTTACACAGACAGGTCATCAATGAATTCTGCAACTGTACCCACTTTGCTGGTTATCCAGCTCTAACAATGTCATATCTTCCTGATATGGTCTGATCGTTGTAACCTTCTTAAACCTCCAGCAGTTTCTTTTTCAAAATATTCCATGCTGTTGTTTTTGGAGCATTCAGTTGGTCTGCAGTGGTTCTGACTGGCATTTGATTTAATCTCATGTTTAAAACTACTTGCTTTTCCATGGTCAATTCTCTAGATTTGGTCTCGTTTTGTAGTTTTTACGTCAAAGCAAGACCCGAATGGAAAATCCAGTGACTGCAACCAGCCCTACATTCACAGCTCTGTTATGTGTTTACAATAAAGGGAACACGGAACACCCGAGCAGCCAGAACCACCTGTCATTCATTTGTACCATACACTCAGCTGCAACAGGATGAGTTTAAAAAACAGCATTTTGTATCATAGCAGTGATTATACTTGGCAAGATAATAACATAAATTCCATACAGTACCCAAAATGCAGTGCTCTCAAACCTCAAAACTACACATGACCATAGTTAACCTGGAAGGGAAAATCACACACGCAGGTTTGGGAACAGGGGCATAGCTAGAACTTTTAAAATGTGGTGGCCAGGTAAGACCCAGAGATTTTATTATGCTGACACACTGCTAAGAAAAAAATTAAATAAATTACTGTTTTAAAATGGCATAGAAAAGTGATGCATTTGTTTTTCTCTGTGCATAATTAAATTTGTCCATCATTTCCAAATTCATAAAATATTACATCAGTACAATTATTGCTGAAAGTAAACCTAAAGACAAAACTCGGGTTCTACATGAGTCTAATGATTAGAAAGCCAGTCATACATCACTGTATAAAGGTAACCTACAACACATGTTCTGGATCCTGTTTATATACAGTTTCTTCTTTGCGTTTTAGAGTATTAACTTGCATTTGTGGATGTTTTCACAGACAGTGGTTTTCAGAAGTGTTTCTGAGTGTTTTGGCCTTGTTCCTTACATACAGAGATTTCTCCAGATTCCTTGAACTTTTTAATGACATTATGTACTGTAGATGATGAAAAGCAAAGGTTCTGTGCTATTTTACGTTGAGAAACATTATTCTCGAATTGTTGCACTATTTGCCTGCTCAGTCTTTCACAGAGTGGTAACCCCTCATCATTACTTCTGAAAGCCTCAGCCTCTCTGAGATACCCAATCATGTTACTGATCTGTTACCAATTAACCACCAGGTGTATTTTTTAGCACTACACAACCACTACCAGCCTTTTGTTGCCCCGTCCCAACTTTTTGGAATGTGTTGTTAGCATCAAATTCCAAATGGGCAGATATTTTTCAAAAAAACAATAAAATTTCTCAGTTTCAACATCTGAAAACGAATAATGAGGGGGTGTGATAATCCACACCCCCTCATTATTCTCTCTGATGATACTCACTACATGAAGAGAGCTATAGGCTAGTCGAATGCACCATGGTAGCATCACTAGAGGAGATTTGAGAAATAAAAGTTTAAGCATAAAAATATCAGTCAGTAACTCAAGTCACAAGTCAAATGCTTTATTAATTTTGCTGGAAAACAAATAATGAACAACATAGAGGAAGCTAAGCTTAAGAGTAGTTCAAAGGGCTTCTGCTTTAATGCTACTTAAGAGGTTAAGTTTGTAAATGACATTTCATTTGATCTCCCAGTAGATGGATCGATTAATTATATCGAACACTGTGTTTTACAATCATCATTTCTTTGGTTTATTTAGCTCATGAAAGTGAGTGAAGCTCTCTGGTTATCATCATTTATTGTGTTTGACTGAACACAATCCATTCTTCTGCTAACTGAATGGAAGTTTATCTGAATGTAGTTTGAATGGCAGCCTCCTCAGTTATTTATCACCACACAAACATCTAAACTTCTAAGACAGCAGGTTAAAATGACTGATTCTTCTTTAAGCAGTGAAGTGCACAACTAACCCCCCACAGCACTTTAAAGGGAACCTGTGACTCACTATTCACAAACAGGCAAGGGAATTTCTCCATTATTGCAGCTCTGACGGAAGGAAAGACTGCCTTCCACTGGTCTATATCCGCTTTTACAAGAAAACCCAATAAAATCTCCATGTGTTGAATAGATTTTTTCTGTGTATTTATGCCTTAGCTGTATATTATGTTCATCCATAGCTTTAAGATCCACAGTGCAGGGTTCTGAAATCAAACAAACATGTTTTAATTAGTGCATTCATGGTTGTGTTTGTGTTCAGTGAAATAACTGACAGTACATAGTACAGATTAAGACATGGAAAACATACAGATGGAAAAAAGAGCATCTCCTTATTATAATACAGTTACTCCTCTGTGTATCACTCTGCTCTGTGTGGTTTGTGTAACTCTGGAGTTCCTCTTCCTCATTTTAATTCCTGGATTCCCTGAACTGCACATTTTTTGTGTTTTCCCAGCTCGAGCTAACCTAATGAAGCTTAGTAATGAGACGATGAGTGGAGTCAAGTGTGCTGTTAGCAGAATAAACACTAAAATGTGCAGAGAAGAAGAACATCAGGACCAGCATTGTGAATCACTGATCTACTTCATAAATTGAGAGACTAGTTGTAGTGACTAATTATTGTTTATGACCTCCCTTAAGGGCTAACGTCCAACTACAACTGCCCGGATACACAGCGACTTGCCTGTTTATTAGATACATTAATGTAGTTCATCTGTAATTGGTCATTTAATCAGCTGACCATAGAGGTGCACATTATAGGTACACTGTAAAACACAACAGCTGTACTATCTTAATTTTTATTGGTTTACTTTTGTTAAACTTGCTAATGCAAATCAAGTAACAATTTCTTGTGTAATAACTTGGGTACTTAGGTAAATCTAGCTAGTCAATTCATCCGGATAAGTCCTACTGCCTGAAAAGTTTCGCAAGTTTCGCAAGTTTCCCAAAACGCTTCCCAGCATCCTTAGCGATTTGGTTGGTTTATGTTAATTAACTTATATGTTTCCATATTTTCATTCGTTCTCTTTTGCTTAATGTTAATTTTAAGTCAAAATAAATTCATCATGCTGAAATGTTGTGTTTGAATGTATTTTACATCACATTATTTTTTTCACCAGCAATAAATGATACATATCAGTCCTCAAACAGCTTTCAGACACAGTGGAAAAGATTCATAAAGCCAGTCGAGTCCTCAGAAATCTGTGACTCTTGTCTTATCTGAGCTGTTTGTTTATTTACTGTATAAAACTGTCCATTTAAAATAATAAAGTTGTTTCAGTTGATGCCCATTCATTACACAGGAATGTGTTTTTTACTTAAGTTTAAGGTTAAGCAGAACTTCAAAAAGTAGAGCGCTGCCAGCTCAGCAAGACCCTTTTAAAATTACTAGGCTGCTTCAGTCAACCTTACTTGCTGCAAGTAAGTGTGGATCCAGGAAAAGTCGAAAGAAACTATGACACAAATCTAAGGTTATTTAAGCTGAACCTGTTACGTAACTTCGCTTAATAAGTCTAATAATAATAAAATTAATGAGTCTTCTGATTTAAGTTTACAGTGTACATGATTACTGACTGTAGCTCATCTGTCACTTTGCACAGTCCTCAACCGCTCTTCACAGCACAGCAGTGACCCTGAGGTGCCATTTTATTCATGAACTCATTTTTGACATTTGCTGAAATAAATTAGCTGAAATCAGCTTCTATCACTGAGCAGTAAACGTTTAGAATAATTTGGTTTGGTTACACCTGAAAATGTGTGTTTAAATGATATTAACCTCTTTAACTCTGTGGAACCGCTGATGGTCCAAAAACGCACTTCGCCATATTCTTTACTTCATAACTTCATACTTCATACTTCATATGAGGGCTGTAACTGTGGTCTTTCCAGTCCAATAGATGGGAAATGTAATTTAAAACTTTATAATACAAGAAGCTGAACTGACATTTGTTCTTCCTCCTGAAATTTGACCCATTCTCCACAAATCTGTGCTAGAAACTGAATCTGAGATGGTGTCTCTTCAGTGATCTGCTCTGTAAAAATTATTTTTATGAAAAAATACAAAGAGAGATTTTTGGCTTTCAGCAGTAAATTGTAAGCATATGGCATTATGTTTATGATAATAAAACACATTAATTTGAGGTGAACATTAAAAAAAAAAAACTTTACATTCATTTCATGCAGCTACTTCATAATTTGCCTTGTGATTTGGGCATTTAAATTCAGATGGAAAACCAAAATATACTCACAAACATAAGAGGTTAAATAACAGTGTTTTTGTAATGTTTAAAGTTTCTGACGTCTAATGTTTCAAATGCATTCTTTGATTATTTTTTTTAATTACATGCCCATGTATTTGCTTGCTTGCTTATTTATTTAGTTATTGATTGATTGATTGATTGACTGATTGATTGAACCAGTCACATTTCCTCACTGACATCATTTTTTAAAGGTGAGCTTCAATCAGCCAATTAAAATACAAGAATTACTCTTCCTTTATAAAAAAAATCATAAACCTTGTACCCTATCTTCTAATTCATATTTTCTAAAAAGAGCTTTTGTTTAGGGCACTGCTACAAATTTTAGCTTCTGTGTCGTCAGTATTACAGATCACACACACACAGTCCAGTCAGCCTGTCAGATACAAAGATATTTTATATTTTTCAAATATATATGTTTTCTTATTAGTCCACATTCAGTTACTGAAGATAGCGTTTTAAAAAACCTCAGTGACCCTAAGCTCTGTTTACATTGGAACGGAGGCTAAAACCCCAGAGAAAAACACTAAAAGGATAGAGCTAGTCTGTGTGCATTAGCCTACTAGCAACCATGATGACTGTGTAGCTGAGCAGTTTAGACTAACAGTTTTAAAAGACTGTGATGTGCTGTGTTTTACTATTGACTGTGTTTGTAAAAGGTATTAGTATCTCAGTAGGTTTAGCTTCTGCCGTGGATGCAGTATATATTCTCTGGGTTACTCACGCCTGACGGTTACGCTGCCTTTGGAACCTTTTGGAACAGTCAACGCTGAAGTAAAATGTTTTATAGTTTTTGATTTTTTGGTTCATGCATGATTCTTTGCTGCAGTCTCTGCTATTTGTATTTCTCTTTCAGTCACATGATATAAATGGGACTTGCAAACGTCTCAACCTAACCAATCAGTATAACTTGATGATATTATCGATAGTTGCTGCAGCCCTAATGTACATCTCTATATATGTATAAATAACATTTTCTGCAGGTGCTAATGCGTAGTTACTTTATATTTGATTCAACTTAAGAATGGAAAAGAATAAAATGCAACTACTCACTCCAGCACTTCCCACTTCCTGTCCATCTGCCTTGTGTGCAGGTCAGATAACCTTCCTTTTTGTAGAATGCAGGACAGTCATAAGCAGCTTCTTCACCGTGCTCATATCGATCCTTAAAATCCTGTACGGCATCTTCAATCTGTGGAGGCCGGCCACAGTCTAGTGTGGTTTTTGCGCACACACACACACACACACACGCACGCACACACAGACACACACACACACACACACACACACAGACAAGCACATGAAAATGCTATTTAAAAGAGTTGTAACTTAATTTGCTATGGCAAGTTTTTTTGGCCTATGTCAAATTCTTGACAGATTCTTGTTGCCTTAGCTTGTATTTATCCTAGATAAGGAGAACTGATGCTGTTATAAAGCCATAAATACATAAGAACAAGCTTATAAAACACTGATGTTAAAGGTTTTATAAAATATCAAAACTAGTTTTCTAAGAAACATTTTCTTGCAGAATTGTACACTAGGTTTGATACAGCTTCCAAATAACACATCATTTGAACAGTTTAAAACAACAAAATAACATGTGTGTAAAATATTTAATGTAACACAGGATAGTGGTGTAGGACTTATCTGAGCTGCTGACCCTGTAAAGCAACAAATAACCTTGCTAGAAAAAAATTAGTAATATAGGCTAAAATCTAAGCCCGAAACTGTGAAGAGCTTCTTACCTTTGCCAGTAGTCTTGGAAGGTGTTGTACCAGGTTGATCATGCTTTACTGAAGATGGTACAATGAAAACAACAACGGGTCAGTCTTAAAAAAATCAAATCGATGTGTGCTTTAAAACACACAATCTAAGACAGTTGTGATTAGAGAGCATGTACCTGAGCTGTAATGACTTGAACACATCTAATGCCTAAAATCCTACCTTTTAAAAAACTGGAAACCTAGAAATCAGGAAATGGATGGGGATATTTTCTGTTACAAGCAGTGTTTTTTGCTTCTTTTCCTTTAACTGTATTTACAAGACACACCGATGATTAATTCTGAATTCCTGCTTTTGTTGATGTGTCCTTCCTAACATCACACTGAAAAAGTAAAAATTCAGTTGTACAGGTTCATTAAAACATTCTCAGTCAGGATACCCCCAAAACAATCCTACAGTGAACTGGACTGAGCGGCGGATCTTTACATGTCCAGCCAATGCTCCTGGTAATAACAGAAGTGAGAGTGAGAAGGCACTGACCTGCCAGTTTATTACGTACACATACCTTGTACCTCTCAGTGACTATTTTATCTACTACACTCACTAAGTGAAATACCAGATTGTTAGGCTGAACACGGAGACGTGACAACAGCAACAAGGAATAAACATTTGTACAGCGTCAACTTTTTTCAGCATCAACTTTTAACATTTACAGTTCTACATGAGAAACAGACCCTGCAAGATTCTCATGTCAGCTTGTAACAGCGTCACATATTTACGTTACACTGGAGACCACAATGTCACTTATTTCTATAAACAATGTGAAACGTTGACTCATCAGACGATAATACATGTTTCCACTATGTACAGGTCCATTTCAGATAAGCTTGAGCCCAGCAAATTCTACCACATTTCTCGACGTTACTGACATATGACCTCTGCTGTGCATAGAACTGTTTCAACCTGCATTTGTGGACGCAGCGATGAACTGTGTTTATTGGCAGCAGTTTGTCAAAGTATTCCTGCAGCCTCATTTAGTGAGTGACATTTAGTCAACACTGCAGACATAAAGCTGAAACTAAACACTGAAAACTGCCAATATTGGTGAGATGGATAACATCTTATCAGAGCAAAGAAGCTGGCGGACGAAAAGCTGGCTTTAGCTTCTGACTTTTAGTGTTTGACAGTTTCTCACTGCAGAATAACTATATCAGGAAAACCAGCTGTATTGCTTATAAATTTCAATGTGTCAATTCGTTTCTAAATGATCAATGTTCTAAACTTTTTTTTTTTTCTTTGCCTTTTGGTTAGCTACTAGCTAGGCAGGATCATTGTCTGCGTTGCTGTGCGACCAGCAGTCTGCATGCCAATCTTCAGGTTTAAAGGCTGGTAAGCAGTTATGCCTTAATTGTGGCTGTTATAACCATTTAGTATTAAACAATTGTGTTAGAAATGTGTGTTAGAAGACTCAGCAAAGCTTTATTTTACTGCAGAGGAAGATTATTTATTATTGCCTAAAATCTAATTCTGCTGTGGAGCTGTAAAAGAGAAGTAAAAGAGCCGCATGTGGCTCCGGAGCAGCACGCTGGACTAGGGCTTTCTTCAATGCTCATTTTATATCCAAGCATGATTGCATCACCTGTATAAGATGTTGTCAGAACATTTCACAATATTTCTAGTCTTAAGTTGCCCCCATGCCAACCTTTTTGGAAAATGTTGCAGGCATCAACTGCAGAAAGATTAAGTTAATGAAATATGGTATATATAAATATGGTAATATCTTGTCTGTACTGTTTTTGTTCAAGTACAAGTCAAAATAGATTCATAAATCACTGCCTTCTGTTTTCCTACTGTCCCAACTTTTGATCTCAAAAGTATTCTAAAATATCAAAATTGTTCTTATTAAACTTTTTTTTCCTTTGTAAAACATCTAGGGCCACATCTTGGGTTGTAAATAATATCTGGGCATTTTTCACCCGTACTTACATTCACATGTAGGTGCTTCATCCCAGCCTCTGCTTCTGCAGGAAATTGTGTGTCTCCCCTTCAGTTCAAAATGTTCATGACATTCATATGTCACTTCTTTTCGTGGCTCTTCAATGGAAGACCTGATATCCGCATCTTCTACCTGTGGAGGAGGCCCACAGATGTCACCTATTAGGCACAAAATCATTTTTTCAGACTTTGTGGTGAAACGAAGGATGAATGAAAATACAATAATTCTTTCTTAAGCAACTCAAATGTATTTCTCATGTATTTACCCTAAAAAATCACTTCCAACTTTTGCCCTTATTACATCTTCCATTCTTTTTGAGAAACTTGCTTTCAGTTTTTCAAAGAAATCTAAAGTTCAGCCTTGAAAGTTAGTTTCATTTTCTGCTTCTTGCGATCTAAATAATCCTAAACACACACGAAGTACATCAAATCTATCAGTATTTAATTCGTCCACATTTTACTTTTGTGCATTTGTGTGCCACTTTAACTCTTCCTACCTTCCAAAAACAACAAAAAAACAACCAGTAGCAGCTGTGTCCGCCCAACACAAGCTGCTCCCAAAGGCATCGCTGACTTTATGTTCCCCTTTAAAAAGACATTAACATTCACACAAGCAACTAGCCAAAGTACTTCTTTGCTCTGATAAGATGTTATCCATCTCACCAATATTGGCAGTTTTCAGTGTTTAGTTTCAGCTTTATGTCTGCAGTGTTGACTAAATGTCATTCACTAAATGAAGCTGCAGGAATACTTTGACAAACTGCTGCGAATAAACAGAGTTTGTCGCTGCGTCCACAAATGCAGGTTGAAACAGTACTATGCACAGCAGAGGTCATATGTCAGTAACATCGAGAGATGTGGTAGAATTTGCTGGGCTCAAGCTTATCTGTGGCCCCATCCCAACTTTTTTGGAACATGCTGCAGGCATCAATTTCAGAAAGATTAAATTAATGAAATATGGTAAAACATGTCTTGTCTGTACTGTTTTTGTTCAAGTACAGGTCAAAGTAGATTTATAAATCACTACTTTCTGTTTTAAGTGCATATACAGCACCTTTAAATTAGGAAATGGATGGAGGCAGGTGGAGTCTATAGTAATAACCTGTAGAAAACACTTATTCAGTAGTTAAAAGTGTCAAAGATTAGAAAAGTCCCCAAATTGCATATATTATGGTTTGATATTACTCTCATATTTTTTGGCAAAAGATAAAAACCAAGCACACCTTTGGTGGTAAAAGTATTATTAGACAATAAGATGTACTCCAGTGGCAAATCCATGAATCATGGACATCACATGACATCATTTAAATTTTAAATAGACACGCTGATGAACAGCAGCGTGGGAGATCTTTCCTCACCTGATTCTTCTACTATATAACAGCAGGAGAGAACTTACTGCTGCATGTACAAGTCTGTGCAGTTCGTGTTTGAGCTTATGGAGCCCTGAGTTTTGGGATAACCTGAATCATGCAGAAAATGCAACCAACTTCTGAACTTCAAGACTGAACGTCGAGGGTCTTTAAAAGAAACTGGAAAACACCCCTGCAGATTTCTTTGAGAAACTGAAAGCAAGTCTCCTGAAAAGAAAGGAAGCTGTAGCTGGTGGGCACATTAAATTCTAATAAAGCTGTATTTATATTTAGTTGTTGAGGCTTTTGTGTCATTTTCTGTTAAATACATGCTTTCTGAAATAAATAAAGGGTGGACTTTTGCACAGTACTATATATAATTTTAACCAAAAAAAAAACAACAAAACAAAACAAAATAAAAAACAATAAGCTGGGGCAGCGATGGACCTTTAGGATTTAATATAAATTGCAGGGTCCTGCACATCTTCTTTTCAGTGTTTAATCTCAGATGTCATTACTGCACTTATGATCATCAATATCAGTATGAAGCAGCACTCTGTACATTTGGAAGAGCCAGGGTTGTGGTGGCTTAAAAAAAATAGTTGACATTGTCAAAAGTTGAGAACTTTTCACACACAGAAGTGTAAATGGTAAAAATGAATGCTAAAAACACTGACACTGTACAAACGTTTATTTAACGCTACGGTAGTTGCTTCACTGCATTGAGCATAGCAACCTAGTATTCACCATAGCAACATGTTGTTTACGTCAGCATTTAGTTTGTGTAGAAGATAAAATGGCCAACAGACGTACAAGGCAGGCGTATTTAATAAACTAGCAGCTCAGTGTCTTCTGTCCTCCTGCTAACGTTACTACAAAGCAGAAAAAGAGGGCCTTTAGATCAGGTGACAAGGAGGAACTGAGAGCTGTGCAGAGGAAACTGAGAAGGAAAATCAGGGTGAGAAAAGCCAGCTACAGAAAGAAGATGGAGGAACAGCTGCAGAATAACAACATCAGTGGGGTCTGGAAAAGCCTAAAAACAAACTCTGCGCACAAGAAACCTGACCCCCTGGCAGTAGGAGACCAAAAGCGGGTGAACGATCTATTTCTCAATAGATTTGATCACACACCACCCCCCTGCACAATTACCCCTGCTGCAAACCACCTCTTCTGGACTCTCAGGGCACTGCACTGCCCCCTCTCCCACAACTACCCCCCTCTTCACAACTCTCACCTCACAGCCACCCACCACTGGTCACTCTGCTGCCAGCTCAACCCCCCTACCCGCACACTCCAGCACCCAGCCCCCCTGCTCCAATCTGTGCCTTACAACAGCCCAGGTGAGAAAGGAGCTCAGAAAGATCAAAATGAGGAAAGCTGCGGGTCCAGATGGCATCAGCGTCAGCTCGGGAGGGAACCACAACTATGGAAAACATCTTATTTGGTACCAGTGCCAAAGACACAGCGACCAAAGAACCTCAGCAGCTACAGGCCAGTGGCACTGACATCGCACCTGATGAAAACACTAGAGAGGCTGGTCTTGTGCATCTCTGCCCTCTGGTCAGCTCATCTATGGACCCACTCCAGTTTGCCTATCAACCTGGCATTGGAGTGGATGATGCTGTCATCTACCTGCTTCACAGAGCTCTTTCTCACCTGGAGAAGCCTGGGAGCACTGAGAGAATCATGTTCTTTGATTTCTCCAGTGCTTTTAACATTATACAGCCTGGGTTCCTGAGGGACAAGCTGGAGAACACAGGGGTGGATCACCACCTATCAAATTGGAATCTGGACTACCTGACCAACTGACCACAGTATGTGAGGGCACAGGATTATCAAACTCATTACAGATGAGGACAACAGAGAGTACAGAGAACTGACCCAGGACTTGTGGACTGGTATCTGAGGAACCACCTCCTGATCAACGCAGGGAAAGCGAAAGAGATGGTGGTGGATTTTCGCAGACGCAGTCACCTCCCTCCAGCAGTGAACATCCAGGGAAGGGACACTGAGAGAGTGGACTCTTATAAGTACCTGGGTTTTCACCTCAACAATAGACTGGACTGGTCAGAGAACACTAGTGCACTTTATAGGAAAGGCCAGAGTAGACTCTACCTGCTTAGGAGTCTGAGGTCATTTGGAGTGCAGAGGGCACTCCTGAGAACCTTCTTCAACACTGTTGTGGCATCAGCCATCTTTCATGGAGTGTCTGCTGGGGCAGCAGCATCTCAACTGTGGACAGGAAGAGGCTTGACAGACTCATTAAGAGGGCCAGCTCTGTCCTTCGAAGCCCCCTAGACCCAGTGCAGATGGTGGGAGACAGGAGGATGTTAGCCAGACTAGCATCCATGCTGGAGAACAGCTCCCACCCCATGCATGACACTCTGGCAGCACTGGGCAGGTCCTTCTGTGACAGGCTGCTTCACCTCAAGTGTGTGAAGGAGCGCTATCGCAGGTCCTTCCTTCCTGCTGCTGTTAGACTGTACAACCAGCACTGCTCCCAGTAGGACCTCCTCCACCCCACATTAGACCTCACACACCTCCAGAACATACACTGTGAATTCATTCATTTTAGTATTTTATATATATTGTCTATATAGTAACAAGTAACAAACTATAAAAACCTTGTTAAGTAATTAACAAAGTTAATTACTTGCTTGTTAATTCTCTTCTTGTTACTTCTTTTCTTTTTCTTGACTGTCTTGTTCTCCCTTTGCTGCTGTTATACTGAGAATTTCCCCGTTGTGGGGCTAATAAAAGATTATCTTATCTTATCTTAAGCCAACATGTTTCACATGATCCACTGGCAGGAACTAATGTACCTTGTGCTTAAGGCGATGTCTGCCCCTCATCTAACATTAAACTGTTAGCACTACCATTAGCTCATCTACTGATTTAACCCACAGTGAATAAAAGATTTCCTTTTGCTTTTGAATGACTGAGGCAGTTTGGTTTTTACTAAAAAATCATGTTTATAAATGGCCTCCTCTGTTTGCTTCCTTGCTACTAAATTTGTTGTATAACCCTGTTGGACAGACAGACTAGCAAAGTAATGTAACAGCAATTCTAAGACCAAAAACGATTCTCTGAGGTTATTTTGAACGTGCCTTTAGGTAACAGTACCTTAAGAAGTTAATCGAGTGGTCTTTTTTGGTTCCATGTCAGCTAGCTAAATAATTTCCATAGGATTGTATTGTTTTCTCCAGCCTAAACACAGCATGTTTAGCTGCACAGCTACACAGACAGGTACCAGTGTTTTATGCAAGTCATATGTACCTCTCTCCCTGCACACGCAAGTTTAAACTTAATGCATAAAGCTTAAACAGTGGAAAAGGCAGCTACGGAATGATGCCACCATGAAGAGGCAGTGAAACAGCACACAATAAACACAACAAACACAGTACTAACACACAGCACTACTATTAGGAATGAAAAAAAACATTGAGTCACAATATTCTGTCTAAAATGTACTTACGTATACATTTTGGGTAAATCCAGTTCCCGTCAGTACAGCGTGCGGACGTTTCATCCTCAAACATGAATCCCTCAAAACATTTATATTCCACAGTATCTCCTTCTGTGTAGTAGTCCATGATCTCTTCAGAATCTTTAATGATGCCATGGGTTATCTTCGTTTCAGGTTTTCCACATGCAGATTTTGACACTAGCATATAAAGACATTAAGATTAAAAAGATACGATAAAAAAATCAAATGAAACTGATCCTTTTTTGGTTTTGTAATAATAATGATAATAATAATAATAATAATAATAATCATAATAATAATAATAATAATCATCATCATCATCATCATAAATACATGTACTCACATTCACATGTAGGTGTTTTATCCCAGTGTTTGTTTATGTAGTAAACTGTCTGTCTCCCCTTTAGTTCAAAATGTTCTCGACATTCAAATCTCACCATTGTTTGGTGTGGCTCTTGAGTGTATTCAGTGATGACTGCATTTTCTACTTGTGGAGGAGCACCATAGTTTTCACCTGTTAGGGCTAAAAATGCATTTTTTGAGAAACGGTTACTTTGTGGTGAAAGCAGTGTGAAAGACAACACAATACTTGTTTATTAAGCAATTTAACATTAGTTTAAGTTCAAGAAAAACTCCAACTCCATTTTATTCTATTAATAGAGGAGTCTCAAGTGAAGTTTGAGTTCATTTGAATATTCTATGGAAAAAGGTCAAACAACATTAAAATAAACTGTAAGAAGTAAAGTTGGATACTTAAGCCAACATGAATTGTGACCTGGGCTTTTAATGAGTTGACACAACAAGACAGACTGTGATTTAGATTCTTCTCAAACTCTGTAAAATCTACAAACAGTTCAGTGATTACTGTTCCTACATGCCTGCAGACCCACTGTCTATGTCAAAATTGGATTATTATTAATTTTTCTGCCATCGCATCAGGTCTCAGGTGATTTAATGGACTGAAGTCATAATCAAATGTAACTTACGTTCACATTTCGTGGTCGTCCACTGTCCGTTTTTACATGTGATGAAAGATGTGTTTGCTTTGAAGCCAAAATCACAATAGACATTGACCAAATCCCTTTGATGTTGTTGGTCATATGCTAGTTTTCCATGTGGAATGTTGGGAATACGGCCACACTTATTTTTGTCTGTTAACAGAGACCAAAAAGACATGAAACCCCAAATCAGCCATTCCCTTCTGTGCTGTAAATGTGGTGCTATGAAAAAAGCAAGGAAAATAGACTCACGTATACACCGTGGTGTGTAGTCCAAAGCATCCGGACTGCAGCTTGTTTCTCCCCACCATGTGTATTCAAATGTTTTATAATCTGCGTCACATGAGTAGTAAATACCCTGAGACGGTCTGGGAGAATCTGTGTCCTTCGTGAAATAATGTGTGAGTCCATTTTCCAAACGGAATGAAGCACAGACGTTCGGTTTAGCTGGAATCCAAACACAGGACACACAAATAAAACTGAATATTTTCTATTAACCTCTCAAGATTATGCTGCTTGTCTTTACTTCTTGATCATTTCCTTATAAAATCCTAGGAGCAGGTGTGAGCTGCAGCTAGTTAGATATCTGCGTTTCGCATGGATGGCTCTTTAAATAAACATAAAATTGAAGCAACTTCAGCCTAGAGACAGACTTCAGTTGAGCATGTGTGCCATTTCCTGCTATTTCAGCCTCTCTGTGAACCAGTCAGCTTCAAACACATTCTGACACCACCAACTTACATATACATATAACCAACTAAGAAATGGTTCAGCAAAAAATCTAATTTGCATCTTTTTCCACTTACCCCAGATGTAATTCATCAGCCAAGTTTTAGGCTAACATTGCCAACAAACGCTAGAAGTCAATAAGCACTTAACCCTGTTCTGTAAATACATCCCTAAAACTTCTCTCAACCCACTCAAATTGCACCCATATCTTCATTAAGGTTGCACAGACTTGTCGATGTGGGTGAATTATAAAAAAGAACAAGACTTCACTGTGTAGCTAAACACAGCCATTTTAGACAACAGGATCTTGCAGCAGGGAATGCGCCATTTAAACGAGATTAGAGGATAAATCTGCACCTTCATCATGAGAGAGAGTTTCTAGCTATGTTTTTACACTGATAAATTCAAATGTGATGTTACTAACATTTGTAACTATACCACTCTAATGACATTGCAGCTTATCTAAGCAGTGCTTGATGTCAGAACTTTGCTTGATCTGTACCTGATAGATATACACTGACATGCCAAAAGTCATGGGATAGCAGTATGTAAATTGATTAAGGAGTGGCGTTACCTCAGGGGACGGCTTGGGAACGCCCACATTGTTTAAGTTTTGAAGTGCTATCTTGTGAGTGAAGCTGAACACTGGCTAACATGCTCATGGCAAGGTGACGTGAATTATCAGAGTTTGGATGAGGCATGATAGTGGGTGCCAGGCAGATGGGAGATTCCATTTCTGAAGTTGTGTGGGCATTTAACATTCCTCGATCCACAGTGTCACGTGTGTACCGGCAATACATCATAAAAGGCATGACCACCCACAGAGGATGCAGTGGCCGCCCACAGATGCTTAATGATTGTGACCGGTGGTGTCTGGCTAGAACTGTCTGTGCAAACAGACAGGCGAGTCTGGCAGAAATCACATCCACATTCAATGCAGGAGGCCCCACATGCATATCCCGCAGGTCATTGCACCTCAGCTTCAATGGGATATGGGAGTGGAAGACCCACAAGAGTTCCTCTGTTAACACCACGACACCGGACACAGCGCCTCACCTGGGCTCATAAAGTTGCTAACTGACCCCTAGAGGACTGCCAACATGTGGTGTGGTCTGATGAGTAACGGTTCCATGTTCATGTTCCCAAACAGTGATAGGATATTCCAGAAGGATAATGCACCGTGCCATTCTGTTCTTTCTCTTTATAAATAACTAATAATGTTGAATTTGAAGTCTTGGCTGCTAGACTACATGTGGGGTAAGTGGGAAACTGCGTACATTTGATTTTTTGCCAAACTGTTCCTTTACATAAACTGTATTTTTTCTAGCCTTTCAGCTGTGATCCACAATACATTTTCTTTAAACTCTACATTTTTTTAGTCAGCACGTTGCTTTTGTTGCTTATGGTAGAAGCTTTTGTGCTCTGCTCCAATCAAGATGAGCTGTTCTTCCACCATCAAGATGCATATTTGTTTGGACTGCAAGCTCTGATTGGTCAGCCTGCTTTTAAACGAATCCGTGAAACACAGAAAATGTAGCTGGCTCAGATGAAACGTTTTAGGGAGCGTCATAGTACACTTGTTCTTGTTAAAAACAAAATGGCTTAAGTTCACCATACAAAGTCAGCCAACTGTAGCTTTCCTTTACTATTACTATAGCTTATTATTATTATTATTATTATTATTATTATTATCATTATCATCATTCTCCATGCCGTTTGGGTTACACCAATTTGTCACCCTCCCTTTCGGGTTATTTGGAGCAAAAGCCACGTTTCAGCGACTCATGGATAGAATTCTCTGCCCCCACTGTGCTTATGCCGCTGCCTATTTAGATGACATTATCATATACAGCAATGATTGGCAGTGGAACGTGCAACATTTGAAGGCAGTTCTGAGATCGCTCAGACGGGCGGGTCTTACGGCCAACCCAAAGAAGTGTGCGATTGGAGGGGTGGAGCTAAACTGAACTGAACTGAGCTGAACTGAACTAAACTAGAAAGAAAGAAAGAAAGAAAGGAAGAAAGGACTGAAAAGTCCCAGCGAGCGTGTTGTCTTAATTTGTCTGTGGGCTGAAAAGCCAAGTGGTTTTTGCGTTGTGTAAAAAAATTTGAATGATAAAAAGCTCTCTGTCTTCACACCTGCCCCCGGTGTCCTTCCTCCACCCATCATTAAAGTTGTTACTCCGACCATTACACCAGAACCACAGACCTGATTTCTGTGACTTCTGAGCTTCCACACCTGCGCTCTGCATGTTTATTTCCGCATATGATGGAAAATTCTAAATTTGGATCATTGGAATATGACCCTTTATTCCATTGCTGGTTGTTGGTATTTGATTTTATGATTAGTTTGTGAAACTGTAAAATGAAATCGACCCATTTGCTGTTTTTCAATACTGGTTTTCAAAATGAAAATCAAATGAACAGAAGGTACACGGACCTGCCATGTAAAGGCAGAGCTCAAACGGGGCGGCGGTGCGCTCATCAACATTGTCCAACAGATAACGGGCCTGTCGTTAGCCCAGGTAAGGTTATATTGCAGAAAAGTCCCTCCACAAAGCTCCAATGAAACATGTAGAAATGCGTGGCGTGTGTGGAGAACACGTTACATGTGGTGAATATACACATGATCTCTTGCAACGGAAGTTAGACTAGTTAAACTAAGACTCCGTTAAACTACATTAAAAATTAGCTTTAAATGTCACTGGGCACGTAATAAAATGGGTTGCTGGGTTAAAAAGTTGATGGATTGATGGGTCACCAGCAATGCAGTGATGTGGAAAGAACTGGAAGCTATGTTTGAGAAAAGACAAGCACTCAGATTTGCATTCAAGCTAAAGTATATGCAGTCACACCAACTAAAAAGCTTACAAAAAGCACACTTGTTATTCCCAGCAAACATCAGTAACTATATACGATAAAATACATAAATACATTCATGTACTCATCAATGAACAAAGATAGGAACTTAATGCACAGCTTGAAGCATCGCTTAACATGTTTGCAAGACTTGCAGTTTGAGGAGACAGCATCAGTTTGAATTCCAGATTGATATCTAGCTGCGTGTTCTTAGTTGCATTTATTACAGAGATTAAATGACTGTACTGGCTGGTTGTCCAGAGCTGCAGGAAAATGCTTTAGACTAAACTTTTAGTTAAAGCTGTTTTTTTAAGACGGTTGCTAAAAAAGACACTTCTACTTTCCTGCTCCGCTCCCTGCTGTTCAAACCTGATCATGGTTGCTAGATTTGTCAGGATCCCAAATTTAGTCTTAAATTTAATTTGTTATGAAAATAGTTATTTTTTCATTAAGCAGATAAAGCAGCAAAGTAAGCAGATAAAAGGCCTAGAGTTCATTTCAAGTGTGCCATTTGCTCGTGATGCAACAGTGTTAACTCTCAATTTGAAGTCCAAAAAGAGATAAAGTAAAAAAGTCTTACCATATTGTGATGAAGCATAATCACAGAAACACAAGAAGAAAAGATGTAGAATAACTAGACTCCGCTTCATTTTGCTGAAAAGGTTAGTATGACGATAGAAAGACTAAGCAAGTTCTGCTTTCAGCACAGTCAATATTTTTCAAGTCCACCCATTCCTGTATTTCCAGCCCAGTAAAGTAAACTAAACAAAGTTCAAAGCATTCAAAGCATTCAAACCATTTTCATGATTATTTTTACTATATTTTATGATTTGATTTCTTTACAAATAACAACAGACATGGAGTGAGACTGGAATACACAGATAAATCAGTTCCCTTCTTTAAAAATTACCAAAAAAAGGACGAATTCACAGCTCTGATAAAGGCAGGACTGGGTAAAATACTCAGCACTGTATGTTTACATAAACAGTTCAGGATACAGACTTGTGAACAAAGTCAGTGTAGTGGTTTAGGTGTTAGCATGTTGGAGTAGAACTGAACAGAACTGTATTAAAATTAAAATTTACTGGGGCAAAAGGAAACAAGCAGCCTGTTTGAAAAATATGACCAGCTGGCTAGAAAACTAGTGCACTAGCTAACTGTTGCCTATTATTGTGAACTACACAGCTCTGTTGATATTTGCTGATTTTCCACAGAGCAGAGATTCCTTTAGAATCCAAAAGATGAAAATGATTACAGAAGTGGAGACTCAGACGCTCTTCTCAGAGATGGGTAGAGTAGCCTAAACGCATACTCAAGTAAAAGTATTAATACTTGGATAAATATATAACTCAAGTGAAAGTACCTCCTAAAAGAACATCAGTAATCAGAACTGAAAAGAATGTAAATACTTCCAATTCAAACAACTGGAAACACTTTTTTTTACAAAGATAGATACTAAATATTTGCAAATATAATCACATATTTTATGCTGTGAGATACAGCTATTTTGGCAGAAGTGGAGAACTTTAATCATCATTTTTATTTGTGCAAATGCATGCAATTCACAATATGTAACTAGCTGTGTGAGATTTCTGCTGTGTGAGATTTACACTGTGTAAATAAAGCAAACCACCAAAAAATTAAAGATAAACATAAGAAGAACTGGTATACATTACAAAATGCTTTATTGATATTGTGGAAATATTCGTAAAAAAAAGCAAGAACGGCATTCAGCAACAGATGAACAGTTCAAATAGAAATTGTAGAAGGCTGCATTTAAATCCGTTTAAAAGAAGACCTTATATATTTATTTACTGATCCCAGGAGATTTTTGCTAAATATATATTTCATGAAGTTACAATTATGCTGTCTTTTAAAATAATCATTTATTTGGTTCATTCAGTACTCATGAAAGTCAATGCGCCTTTTGGTCATCATTACTTAGTGTACTTGATTGAACACAACCCACTGTTCTGCTAACTGAATGGAAGTTGAATTTGTTGAATAATCTTATTCAGTTATTTACTGAATCAGTCACTAAACAAACATGAAACTCTCTCAGACATCACGTCTACTGACAAACAGGCAAGGCAATGACTCCTTTATTGCAACACTGTCTGCCACAAGTGCATGTTTTTCTTGAGAAGTGAACACAATATGATGCCCATGCTTTGCATAGGTTTTTTGTCTTCCTCTATTAAGTAGCTGTATATGATGTACACTATATTGCCAAAAGTATTCACTCACCAATCCAAATAATTGAATTCAGGTGTTCCAATCACTTCCATGGCCCAGGTGTATAAAAACCAAGCACCTACGCATGCAGACTGCTTCTACAAACATTAGTGAAAGAATGGGTCGCTCTCAGTAGCTCAGTGAATTCCAGCGTGATACCATGATAGGATGCCACCTGTGCAACAAGTCCAGTCGTGAAATTTCCTCACTACTAAATATTCCACAGTCAACTGTCAGTGGTTTATAACAAAATGGAAGTGATTGGGAATGACAGCAACTCAGCCACAAGGTGGTAGGCCACGTAAAATGACAGAGCGGGGTCAGCGGATGCTGAGGCGCATAGTGCGCAGAGGTGGCCAACTTTCTGCAAATTCAATCAGTACAAACCTCCAAACTTCATGTGGCCTTCAGATTAGCTCAAGAACAGCGCATAGAGAGCTTCATGGAATGGGTTTCCATGGCCGAGCAGCTGCATTCAAGCCTTACATTACCAAGTGCAATGCAAAGTGTCGAATGCAGTGGTGTAAAGCGCCGCTACTGGACTCTAGAGCAGTGGAGATGTGTTCTCTGGAGTGACGAATCACGCTTCTCCATCTGGCAATCCGATGGACGAGTCCGGTCTTACCGAGAACGGTACTTGTCTGACTGCATTGTGCCAAGTGTAAAGTTTGGTGGAGGGGGTTATGGTGTGGGGTTGTTTTTCAGGAGTTGAGCTTGGCCCCTTAGTTCCAGCGAAAGGAACTCTTAATGCTTCAGCAGACCAAGAGATTTTGGACAATTTCATGCTCCCAACTTTGTGGGAACAGTTTGGGGATGGCCCCTTCCTGTTCCAACATGACTGCGCGCCAGTGCACAAAGCAAAGTTTGGTGTGGAAGAACTTGACTGGCCTGCACAGAGTCCTGACCTCAACCCGATAGAACACCTTTGGGATGAATTAGAGCGGTGTTTATTCCCATGAACGCACTCCTAAATCTTGTGGAAAGCCTTCCCCGAAGAGTTGAAGCTGTTATAGCTGCAAAGGGTGGGCCGACATCATATTAAACCCTATGGATTAAGAATGGGATCTCACTCAATTTCATATGCGTGTGAAGGCAGACGAGTGAATACTTTTGGCAATTTAGTGTACATCTGTAACTGGAACGCTCACAGTGCAGGGCTCTGAAATAAACCCAGCATGTCTTAATTAATACACGTTGTTTGTACTCACTGAGATTACTATAGCAGTACATACCACTGGCCAGAGGTAGAAACAGGACAGTCGAGTCCTGAGTCAATATAGGCAAGTCTCAAGTCTTGAGTCATAAATTTGAGTCCTAAACATGTCAGAATGCATTCTTCAGCTAATTTAATGGCCTTTTCAACACCAAACTTGATGTTAACAGTAACACAGCCTCTAAATGACAGTGTGTTATTTGCACATAGTACATTTTTTTATATATATATTTGTTTTGTAGCTCTTCCAAATAAATGACAAAATCCATGGTGCACAGATAAGCATGACAGACATAATGGTATACACAAAGACTAGTGCAGCTACACAGGAGGAGAACTTTCAGTGTACTATTTTTGGAGAGCAGGATTAAAAGAAAAAACTATCTCGGCATTAAAACTAGCTCAACAAACTGAAACAGCTGCTAGTTTGAGTTGAATTTAGAAGACAAACAATTGAAACCAAAATAACTGCACTGAACAAAGTTAACGGAAAAGATGTAAAACGACGGTTGGTGCACAAAGCTGCAGTTTCCTTCTGTTTCACCTGAAATGATGCAGCAGTTTCCACTGTTTCATCATGTAGTCATGTAGTAAGACTGAAGATTAGGTATTGAGCAAGGTCTTATAGATGCTACTGATACTTTGCTTGTTTCTAGCTTATGGAGGTGAACTTGAATTCTCACACTTCACTTCTCTCCTGAAATAAAATATACCAAACGTAAGTGCAGTAACAGACCTTTGACAACATTGTTGTTGTCAATTTACAGTTGATGCAGTTCTGGCATGCCTGAGTCAGGAAACAAATCTATTCCTTCATAACACTCCTGCACTGACCAATAATGTCAATAATGAGTAAAAAAGTTGATTCGGGTTTGTTGGGCACAGAGAAAACACTACAGTGTGCAGTGAAGGAGAACATCAAGACCAGAACTGGTGTAACTTGAGGAGTATTGTAGGTTACTCCTAACTGGTTCTAGTAAGAAATTGCAATGTTTAGGACCTCCACTAAGGGCTCCTTAGACTCCTGACTGACGAATTCTGACAAGTATAGTTTTAAATGAGGAGTTTTGAGGGTATTTTTTACTGAGGTAAGGTCTGAGGTCTGTATCTACCACGTCAGTAGTTTTTACAGACGTAGTGCTCCTGCGTCAGGTAAGATTCCACCTTTTACCTACTATTAGATGGGCTGTAGGGCTGTAACTCCAGGTTATATTAATCAATGTTGCTATCATTTTCTGTGTAAAAGGAATCTTACCAAGTATGATGGCACTGCAAGAAGATCTTTATACAAATATACCACAGACACAACCTGAGTAAACATAAATTACAGTTTTTAAATAATCGTTTTATTTATGGAAGGAAAAATGTTGTCCAACACCAGCTGGCCCTGTGTGAAAAAGTAATCGCTCAGTCTTAAAGTTTAAACTTAGACTAGACACACCCAGGTTTGATCACCGCCAGCTCTGTTGACTCTGAACATCACATAAATAGAACCTTTCGAGTGATGTGAGATACGCTGAAAGGTCTCAACAAGCAGCACACTATGCTGCAAGCAAGAGAAAGTCTAGAAGAGAAGGTCAGTTAGTGGAATGGGTTACAAAGCCATTTTTAAGGCTCTGGATTCAAGCAAATTGCAGTGAGAGCCATTATCTGAAAATGGAGAAAACTTGGAACAGTGGTGAATCTTGCCAGAAATGGCCAGTCTAACAAAAATCCTCAAAGAGCACAGCAAAGACTCACCCAGAAACTCATAACAGAACCCATCTAAGAAATGGCAGGCCTCTCTTGCCTCAGATATGGTGGAGCATCTGTTATTCCGCCATTCAGAAAAAAAAAATGGGCAAAAATGGTCTCCATGGGAGAGTCGACTTCTGTATGGCTCAAAAGAAACAAAATTATGGTTTTAGACTGAACTAATCAAAATTACGAGAAACATTTGTTGCAGTTGTTGTTACTAAAGATTGCACAGCTAGTTATTCCTATTAACTTTAAATAAATATAAGCATAACCTAAAACTGTTTTGGGTTCACAGAAAACAAACACGGTTTGTATGAGGATTTGAAACCATTTAGTGAGACAAATGTGCAAAAAAGAGGAAATTAAGAGTGAATAAGTACTTTTTAATGATAACAGAGTGTTGTTTTAGCATGACATGCAGCAAAAACAGAAATGAAGTAATACACTGGTTAGCAAACACGAGGGGATATTATCATAAATACTATATATTTGCTACTAATGTCTACTAAACCAAACATTTTTGGTTGTTGATAGAAATTAGCTCTGATT